CTCTGTCATGTTTTGCGGGGTTTTGTGGTATATTGAAATGTGAGATTTCAATCATTATGAATTACAATCAGAGACGCAAAAGCTGTCGCCTTTATCACACAGCTTGCGTTATACCGAGTGTTTACAAGATCTGCGTATCAGACTGTTTAATAGGCAAAAAACTTCTTGGATTACTCACTATGCAGCATGTTAGTATCAATAAAAGTATGTATAACCAAATTAATCTACTGAATTATTATGTATGACTGGTTAAATAAATTTACCGTCATTTCATTCAAAGAATGTGACACTAGTCTGAGACTCGTTTTAATTTACCGAGTTATTGTTTCTCTAAAAGAAGAGTCCCTCTATTTAGTTTTTGCAAATATTGATATATGGTAATTGGAAAAATTGATTACTTTGATTTTTTTTGATTATTTTTTTTTATTGTTAAAGAAAGAAGAATCTTTCTAGTTTGTTCTCACACTCTAAGAAAAACCATAAGTCTCTGATGAGACTTCAGCTCTACTCGTTTGTACTTGAAACAAAGGAAGAGAAAGGTAGCACTAAGTGGACTTGAAACTACGCAACAACAATAAATAGAATAATGCTTCTTGGATTAGTTTCTTTTTGTGGTAAGATGCATTGCGATCAGACTAAAACTGTAAGAGGTGTAGCATTTTGCAAGTATTTCACAGAAGTTTTTATATCTAGTAACCAAGGCAACACCGTGCATCTAAATCAAAAACCGATAAACAGAATTATGTATCTTAGTGTAGTCTACTTGTGTGCCAAAAGTAATATTGAAATCAGACCATAAGTGTAGGAGAAGCAGCGTTTTGAAAGTATTTCACAGAAATTCATATTTTTAGTAACCAAGGCAACGCCGTTCATCGAAATCAAAATCGATACACAGAGTTATGTATCTTAGCATAGTCTACTTGTTTGCAAAGTTACACTGAAATCAGACCAAAACTGTAGGAGGAGTAGCGTTTCGAAAAATTGTTTATAAACGAACAGACGGAGGACGGGCACCTTACTTTCGCATAAGCTCCAAGTAGAGCTGAAAAGGTCTCAGGCAGAACTCACTTTTGTCAGTGTCAGTACAGCAGTATAACAATTTCATTAAGTTTATCATGGAGTTAGGAACCTAATTTTGTTTCCAGTAATTTATTTGCATTCTCATTCTGCATCTTTATTCCAGTTACGCATTCATCACCTTGAACCAGAAAACCTCCTAGACAATAGATTTTGAGCACTAAAAAATTGCACTTTATGAATAATTTACTACACAATGTTTTTCAAATTTCAATTTTCATTGCTGAGAGTGCACGCTAAATTTTCATTTGTTATTAGAAATAGGTTTGCACGCCATATTTTCTATAATGCAATAGAAGATAAAAGTTACAGTCCCCTATCTCAAACAATAAACTAACAAAATGTGTGAATAATTGAAAATAATGCGTTGAAGCAATTTGTTTATTAGTTTTTATGCCACATAAGGTAATCTTGGTCAGAGTGAACGTAAGAATGTAAAGAAGGGGGTGTCGTTATGCAGAATCAGTCTGTTTTCGTGCTGTAAATTGGGTGGAGTAACTACAAATTTACAATATTGTAAGTGCGTCAAACAAAAAGATATATCCGTATCTTATGAGAATCATGACACAATATTTACATTTGCTGTGATTTTCTACTAAGCCAACTGTTAAATTGATTTGAAAGTCATTTTTGTGTATACTCACGTGTAGAAATATACTCGGTGAAACTCGCGCTAGTGACGTCACAATGAGACTATAGAGACGCAAATAAAAATGTAACGATATAGGGCAGCAAGAAATTCAAATATTGAGTACATTATTGGTGCTTTTAAACTTGTAAAATGTAAATAAACATTCCTTAAATATATAACATACATAAGTTTGATGTTACTCGATTTGATTTTAATTTGTTTACACTATCTCATTAAGCAATATATTTCGACTGACAATTCTAGGTAAGCCTTTCTACTTTCTACAGTCAAATGTTAATCCTATTTATTTGGATACTGAACACTGATTTCATGTTTAATTTGAATTTTGAGATGGTATCGTAAGGGGAAAAAAGTATCATGATGCTTCACGATATTTCAGAAAAAGAACGCAATCTATCATGATACATGTACATCAAGTTTTCAAATTTACAGGTTTCTCCATAATTATTTCTTGGTTTTAAGAAAGGAAAATGTAGATCTCAGCATTCCTTTTGAAAAAAAAAAAAAAAAAAAAAATTATTCTAAGTCTTTAGCATTTTCTGTAACCAATGTTAATGTAAGTTAGTTTTTAAAACTTTTTTCCCTTTTAATTTCTAAACATAGACATTTAACTTTTCTTCTGGTTGTTTTAAGTTCTACCACATTCGGCAAACCTCGGCTGATTCCTTCATCTTCATCAAACATGAGGTACGAATCGGCCGAGGTGTGCCGAGTGAGTTCTACCATTGCTATTTACGCAAATATCACATACTTTCTGAAAGTGTCGAAAAAAAAAATCGATTCTTCATTTTATGTATCGATGCATAGTATTGACACCCTCTGTACCACCATGCATAGATAGACAGATGCATTGTTACAGATTAAAACTGTAGAAGAGATAGCCTTTTGAAAGAATTTCACAGATTTTTTTATATTTGAAATCATCATTCATCAAAATTAGAAACTGATATAAAGAATTATGTATCTTAATGTAGTTACTTGTGTATAAAGTTCTGTGGAAATCAGACAAAAACTGAAGGAATATCTATGGAAAGCCAAAGGGTTCAATATTCTATCTATGTAATTATGTATTTGTTGTTACTAAATGCGCTATTCGTTTTACGTAAATGTAAAAATGTAAATCATTATTTTGACATTTGTGGTACAATACCGTATACTCGTTATTTGAAAGGCGTAACGTGTTAACGGGATATAATGTCTGTGTAGATGCGTAAAAAGTAAATGCATTATTTTATGCAATGTAAATATGAGACTTAATATTCGTTATCCGTATTTAATCATTTGTACATTGTTGTTTGTTTATAAAGCCCCATTTGAGTTAAGGAAATTATTGTTTGGTAATCCGTTCGATGTTAGTTCGACATTCGTATTTTATCATTCGTTCAATGTAATATTCAGCAATACCATTATGACGACAGAGGGCGCGCGTCCCATACAACCTTTTGGGAAGCAGACTATAGAATCAAAAGGGGGACCAGATAACGCACCCAACCTTCGGAACTGATTATTTTCCCGCTCTCAGAAAGTCCTGGGACGGTAAAATTGCAGGTAAGTGTTAACCTTTTTTAAGATGTAGTAATAGTACAGACGGGAAAGAATGTCAATCAGACTGTAAACCAGGACCTATCTGCATCGCTTAGGAGTATATAAATCTAATGACCATATCATATGTCATCACTAGCTGCATAACTCGTCGTGACTCAGGCACTTGTTTCGTATACGGGACACCCCATAGTTATTTTTACCAAAGCAAAAATAAGTAGGGTGCCCCGAAACAAGTGCCTGTGCGCATAGGCACTCACCAGCTTATTTTATCTACTGTACTATAAACATAACACCCCAGCTTATTAATTTGTTAAAAAATCTATATCGCTGTTATTTATAGATCCAGGATATAGTAGATACATGTATATATTTTATAACAAATTAAGCTGGGGAGTGATGGCCTATGCCTGTGCGTCGTGAAATAACATTTCACCTGTCTCGACTACTGTTAATTAATAACTTGTTTATATTCAATTGAAATTTTATTCAGAAATTGATTTTCTGTCAGTGTGTTGGTTGTATACCCTGTCGTATAAAGACTCAGGGGTTTGATATATCAGCTGGGAGGGGGGGGTGTAAAAGCTTCTATTCATCTCAAACCCTTGGAGTCCGCCACATAAAAAAACCTCTACTAATATTACTTTATTTGAAATAGTTTTCATAAAACTTCTTCCCTGAGAAGACACTACTTCCTCCGTCTGAGTACTACTCTTTGTAAAATCGGAGCTACTGCCTGAGACTACTCCCTCATTACATGTAACAGGTTGGAGAGAATACTCAAAATCTTGTATATTTCCCGATATTGGGTATCACTGTATCTGCGAAATCGAGTATCAGGTGCAACTTTCTGTAAAAACAGCAACAAAAAAATTAACGGCACATGATGTCAGTTATAGTGTTACCTCAGTGTCTTGGGAGGTTATTTTTATTGAACCCCATTTACAGGTTTGTCTAAAGAATTAAAAATGACACGAGTAACACAGTTGGGGTAGCAAGGAAGACATCTTTTTTTTTTCAATGCCATTACCAAAAACAATTCACTACATGTTATTTGAATTGATTTTCCACTAGTATATACCCCAAGCTTAATTTCTTAGACTAATCTTGTGAATTATTCACAAAGAGTAGCACTTTTAAGAAAATTAACAACTAACTGTAAGTTATTTATTGAATACCTTAAAATGTAAGGCGTCTCTTTCATTTTTCATTAATGCACAACAAAATTTCTATTTTTCTTAAGTATTAAGGATAAAGTTTGCTTTATGAAAGTGCTAGGATGTATCAATCAAAAGCGTCCCGAAATTTGTAGTTTCAATAATTTCCAGATAAAATAAGTTTTCTTTAATTTTATTTCCATTTGAAATGCTATAGCAACATATAAGTCATGATATTATACCGAAAACTTGAGAAAATATTAACTTCAAATCTGTGTCCAAGCACCTTTAAAAAATCTTAGATTGTTTTGGTACAATAAAACAGTACTCGGGAAATTGCTTCACCGCCTAGGGAAATAAATTCCTCCCTCGGGGAACTATAAATTTGTATTTCCCTCATACCCATTCCATAACTGTATACTGTAACAATTAATTTTTGAATTACAATAGACAGAAAGTAAAACCTACCCATATATATATATATTAATTCAGGAACATTTATGAGTGAAGTGACTTATATTATAAAGCTTGTATATTATGCTGTAGATTTAAACATTGTTTCTTCAGCTGTTATGGAAGACAAAAAAGAAGAAATTATCAAATGTTTGGAAAAAGCGGCAGAGCTATTGAAAGGTAAATACGGGAACTTCATAATGATTCATTATTGAATAGTATTCCTGTTTAAAATTAAAAAATGTGATAGGAATTGATATTAAAATCATTAAATGATTTTTTTCTGTTTCTAAGAACGTAGTAAATCTATTGCCTAACACAAGAGGTATTTATGGGAATTTAAAAAATAAAATTGTATGATGAATTAAATTACAGGCCCAGGAAGGATGGGAAGTTCTCAACCTGAAGCTGCTGTGGCACCAATGCCTCCAAGTTTCCGTTATTCACAACTACCAGTTAACAATCACAGAAATCAGCAGAGCGTTAGGAACCTGTTCAGGCCTTATAATGGCAGAAATTTTACAAGCTATTGGACACATAAATTTCTGTGTTTTTGGAGCAAAGATAGTGTATGTATATTATGAACAGTTATTACTTGGTTGCTATAAAGCATTCATTCATACTCAAAAGAGTTCATGACTATTATCCAGTACATTTTGTTAATATAACTTTAAAAAAAATGATACTTAAGCAGTTTAAAATTTGTACATGTTAGGCCTAGAAAAAAGTTTGTTGAGGCTGGAAAAAAATTAGAACAGGGTAGGTATCATAAATTGGATTAGTTGGGAAAGCGGAACCTTTTTTTTTTTTTAGCTCACCTGAGATGGAAGCTCAAGTGAGCTTTTCTGATCACCTGTTGTCCATCGTCCATCTATCTTTTCACATTTTTAACTTCTTCTCAAGAACAACTATGCCAATTTTAACCAAAATTGGTACAAAGCATCCTTGGGTAAAAGGAAGTTTAAATTGTTAAAATGAAGGGCCAAGCTTCTTCACAAGGGGAGATAAAAGAAAAAAACAGAGTGGGGTCATTAACAAATCTTCTCAAGAACCACTTGGTCAGAAAAGCTGAGAATTATATGGAGAATTATATGGAAACATCCTTGGGTAGTGTAGATTCTAAAATTGTTCAAATCATGACCCCCCGGGGGTAGGATGGGGCCACAGTAGAAAATTTAAGTTTTACATTGAAATATAATGAAAAAATCTTTAAAAATCTTCTTCTCAAGAACCACTTAGCCAGAAAAGCTGAAACTTATGTGGAACTAACCTGGGCTAGTGTAGATTCGAAATTGTCCAAATCAAGCCCCCCGGCATAGGGTGGGGCCACAATAGGGAATCAAAGTTTTACATTGATATATAAGGCCTAAAAAATTTTGTTTGTTTCCCGTAAAATTCCCAAAAAATCAAGAGTCAGTAGGTCAGGATTTCTTTATTTTTGCTAATGCATAAGGGGGTCAAACATCCCCGGACTGAATTAACCAGGTGTGATATTTACAGTGGACACCCAATATGGCTGTCTAGCGGCAGAACTTCAAAAAGTTGTGGGGGAATGCTAGATGTTACAATGATTACTCTTTATATATAAGGTAAATGTTGACTAGGATGACATAATTTATGTCTCATATAAAGCTTCAATTAACATTTTTTGTATAATAAATTGAATCAGCTGATTGTATGATCAAACAAAGATTTGGCCCAAAAAAATTCACCTAGGGGTAAATTGAATGGGTCGGTCGGGTGATAGGAAATAAACATAATTTTTTTTTAGGCCGAAATGTAGAAATCTTTAAAAATCTTCTTCTCAAGAACCCCTGAGCGAGAAAAAACTGAAATTTATGTGGAAGCTTCCTGAGGTAGTGTAGATTTAAGTTGTTCAAATCATGACCCCCGGGGGTTTGGGGTGGGAAGATACACAGATCTTGGGATGCGATACGTATCTCAATATTATAACACGATACGATACATATCTCGATATTATGATAAATTATAAAACTATTTAAAAAAAAATTAGTATTTCATTTCATTTTTATCAAGACAATAAATCAACAAATTAATCTATACCAAATTATGTGTACTTTTAAATTAATACTAGTCTTGAAGTTCATCAGTTTCATTGACTAAAATTTACAAAACCAATATTATGTGTATGTATTGCCAAATGTCTATAAAAAAAATTGTTTATAAATAGTTGTGTAGTTCATCAAGAACACTGACTAAAAATTCATTTAAAAAAAAAAATATCACAAGTACATTATTATTAATGCTAAAAGCCTGTAACCAAGTTGATCGAGTTTACAAAAAAATTAATCCACAATTTGTTTCAAATTTCAAATTCTTGAAATTGGAGAACCCATGCTTTATGAGCTGTTGGTGCCAGACGGACTAATAATTAATAATATCAACTGTTGTGGAAACGATACTTTCTGTGTAGAACACACTTTACATACTGAACTTTTCTTGTCCCATCTTCTGAGGATGCTTAAAAGTGAAAATGTTTTACCCCTTATCTACGACTTATTAGTTCTAAAGCATGTTTTCAATATCATTATCATCTCTTCGCTTCATACAAGCCACCATTTTCCAAAGACAACTACTTTCATTTTCAATTTTTTGATAGATCGTTCGTGTATCGTTTCATACCAATATTTTAATGCTTGTATCGTAAACCATATCTTAGCAGAAAATGTCTGTATGTACCGGTGTATCGGTATATCGTCCCAGTCCGGGCAATAAGTATGACAAGGGGAAAATCTGGTGAAGAACAGCAGGGCTTAAGTTACTCAGGTGAGGCCAAATAAAAAAATATGCGTGGTTCCGGTTACCCGACCTTCCCTATTTTATACCCCCGACCCTAAACTTTTTTTTGGCAATTTTCATATTTTTTCCGGAATTTCCCCCGATTTCCATCAATGGCTCCAGTTTAGGTTTTAGTTTCAGCAATGACGGCCTCCTTGCAAAACATAGTGCAAGTGGTCAATAGTGTTAAATCCAAAGCAAGCTAGCATGTAAGTGTCCCCTACCAAAATTGACTAGTATATTATCACACCACATCTAAATGCCATTTGCAAAGCAGTGATAGGTATTATTTAGAAAAAATTGAGAAAATCAAAAAAAAAAAAATAAAAAAAAAAATCCCTAACTACCTACCCTAATTTTTTTGGAAGTGTAAAAGGAACCACACATATTTTTTTGTTTGGCCTGAGCATTGTGGCCCATGGGCCTCTTGTTTCTAGGCCATATAATTCTCTATAGTACAGTAAACACGCTTAATATAGTGAACACGCCTATAATGAAATGATGCTTACAGCGAATTGTTTTTCATCCCCTGTGATTTTAAAAGCACATTGTAAACTGAAGGGATATAATGAATTACGCTTGTAATGAAGCAAAATCATGTGTGACACTGTCCCTTGCACTTCGCTATAACTGTATAACTGTTTACTGTATCAATCCATTTTGTTCTAGGATTCTGTTCCTAACAAAGAAGAAAAAAAACTCTTGTTTGAGGCTGGATTAGGAGAGAAAAAGATTACATTTGTCAAGAACAACAACCCAGAAGAATTCACAAATAAATTAGAGCAGAGTTATCCTAAGTTGAAAGGATGTGGAGGATATGAGCTTCTTAGAACTGTGACAAATTCAAGAACTGAACTTGAACTTATTAAGCCAGGGTCAAATGGTTACACTTCAGAGTATTTGTCCAACAGTTATCTTGGTCAAGCAACATGTTTTATAAGACCCATACAGGTTGACCTTGACATTTCTCCTGTTGGAGAGGAGCATGTAAGTAAATGATATTCAAAACACATATATAACTGTTAGAAGAGTTAATATTATTAACATTACATGTAGTATATACTATTTCATTTATTTCATAACTTTCAGAATGCAAATTTTATAAAAAGTTGATAGTTTTGTTTCATCATCAGATAGACTGTCAAATCTGATGTTTTTCGAAAGTTTGAATTTGTTATAGTAAAGGAAAATTGTTTTGATAAAGAACAAGGGTGGTAAAGGACAAAGTGTGGATTTTGTAGTTTCAGAAGAATATGCATTTAAAATATATAATAAAAAGCCACAACAGTTACATGTACCTAAGATGGTCATTATATTGAGTTACCAAAATCTGTGTAATGAAAACAGAATATTCAGTGTATATCTATGACAATTCCAGGTTGGTAAAAAAGAAAGGTGTCTAGAATGTGGAGAGGCTGTTCCACTCATTCATCTCCGAAATCATATCCTTAAATGTAAAAGTACAGAAGAGGTAGGTTTTAAATTCACTTCAGTAAATTCGTAGACAATTCCATACTCTAAGTTATCACATAAAAGATATGGGTGTAGTTAGTCAGGATTTTTTTTAGGATACATGTATATGCAAAGTTTTTTTATGCCCCAGATCGAAAGATCCCGTGGGTATATTGTTTTTGTCCCGTCTGTCTGTTTGTCTGTTTATCTGTTTGTCTGTTGTCAACATTAACCTTGCCCATAACTTTTGATTGGTTGGAGCTATGACTTTCATATTTCACATGTGTATTCCTTGTGACAAGACCTTTCTTTGGGTACCATCATATTTGACCTTTTGACCTTGACCTTGGAGTTTGACCCACTTTAACAAAATTTTATTAGACTTTAACCTTGGCCATAACTTCTAAACAGTTGGTGCTAGGGCTTTCATACTTCACATATGGAATCCTTGTGGCAAGACCTTCCTTTGGATACCAACAACTTTGACCTTGACCTTGACGTTTTACTTACTTTTAAAATCTTTAACCTTCGCCATAACTTTTGAACAGTTGAGCTTGGGCTTTCAAATTTCACAGGTATATTCCTTGAGACAAGACCTTTCTTTGGGTGCCAACATTTTTCATCTTTTGGCCTGGATTTTGACTTGCATTTGAAAAACTTTACTTTAACCTTCGCCATAAGCTGCCATACCGGGGCATCAGTGTTTCACAAACACATCTTGTTTATATTATTATTATTTTTAATTTTATTTTATATTTATTTATTTAATTTATTAATGAATTAACCTGGGTGTATTTAGTATGCATTTGGCAGTAATCCGAGTGCTGTGAAATACATGTACATGCATGGCTAAATATGTCATTTGACACAAAAAGTTGCAATTGAAACAAAATCATTTTGGTCAACACATATATAGCAAATTTGGAAATTTAAATGTCAGTCAAAGAGATAGTGAAGAGTTGAAAGATAAATTGGGTGACCAAAATATACTTTTGTTTGCCTTTATTAACAAATGATGTAAATAAAAGTAATATATTTAATACATTTACTATTCAGATATGTTAATTATTTTCAAATGTCAGTTAATACAATCTTATGCATAATCATGTGCTTCAGAATGATGCTTATCATAATGATGATGATGATGATGACAGTCTGCCAACTATGCAGAAAAGAAAACGTCCAAAGAAATCACATGTACCAAGTACAAATAGACCGATTTGTGAATATGCATGTGCTTCAGTAAGTATACCTAATCTTATTAACTTTTTTGATCACCATAAACAATGTACATGTGATACTGCTTGCACAGAAATACAAGTGATAAACACAAATACAGTGTACCATGTATCGTATTAAGAAAAAAGTTGGAATCTGTGATGTCTTATACAGTATCTATAAACCATGCTTATTCATTGCAGACCAGTAATAACTCACATAGCAGCAGAAAAGATTCTGAGTAATATATATATATTATGCTCCTTATTTTCTTGTTCTTTTGTTTAGTTACAGTAAAACATCCTTATAATAAAGTGCCAGGGACTTCATTATTAATGTAATTTGTCCAATTCACAATATATTTTTAAGCCATGGAGAATGAAAATCACTTCTCTGTAAGAGTCAATTTATTTTAAGCACATTTGCTTTAAGCATGTTTTACTGTATCTATTTAACCTCTTTAAGAATAAGACGCATGTAGTGTAGATGTCCGGAACAAAGGACAAGATAGGCTAAAACCCATTTTTGGCCCTTTGTTTGGGGTGCCTTTTAGAATGATGCAACAGTTTATCAATAAAAACCTGTTGTCACCCCTGCCACAAAATGAGTATTGGTTCTAAGTGATGGGATACACAAATGTCAGAGGAAGGTCAAAAAATATATCTGATTCATCTCATTTTTATGCAAATTTCCATTGATTTAACAGCATATTTTGTTTCATAAAACATGGAGCACAAGCTTGCCTATCTACCAAATTTATATATTTCATAAACTAGTATCAGATGCATCTGGTGTATAAAAATCTCAGATAGACGAGCTTGTGCTCCATGTTTCTCGAAGTGAAAAGTATCTCAAATTTGACGAAATCCCACCACAATTGAGGAAATTCTGGAAGGTGTCCTACTTCTGCACCCTCTTGTGGCCTCCCTGTAAGCTTTGAATCAAAATTAATGCTGGTTGTCAAACAAGCATCATTTTAAGTTCTTAACTACAAAGTATCCCAATTTTATCTGTTCTGATTTTTACATCAAATAAGGGGCCAGATTCGGCCGTTATCATACCTTTTCCTTTCATTTTGCTTGCATATGTACCCATGTGTGTTGAGTATAGTGACTAATTAAACTGAAATAGCTTAAATTGTTATTTTTTATAATAAAACCCAAGTTGAGAGATCTAGAAAACATTCATGCATTGCACTGAAATCTGTCTGGCCAAAGCACTCTTCGAAATTACTTGTCAGTCCAATGCCAGGCCTGGTAAAGTTGTTTGCGGTTTTGTAATAAATGACAAATCACATGCTCACTCGGCATTGTAGACTGGCTGTTACGTAAAACTCAATTTTACTTTAACTGAAACAGGACAGAATTTACAGTGTAGGTAAATATTATGAGTCCTTGCATTATGGAATTCACATTATCGTACATATGCAGAATTCTGATTAGTTAACATTTCAACTGCTATAACATAACTTCTAAGTTTTCAATGAAATTCTTAGAAAAGTAAAATGCAGCACTAATTAAAGAGGTACTATCAGATAATATACATGTATATGCCAGGTCTTATATCAAGTATATTGGTCATTTCACCTATTGCACATATCATCTTGTCAACATTACTAATATATCTTTATATTTTGAGTATCAAAGCCTTTCATAAAAAAATTTAAAAGTTACAGCTATATCAAGTAAATTATTCAATTTAAGCCTTGCATGTGCACACTCATGCATGCATGTGCATGATGACCATGTGATCTTGTCTACACTTGATATATCTTTATATCCTGAGTATCAAAGTATTTAATAAAAAAATCAAAAGTTGCGTTATATCAAGCATGTTTTATACATTTCACAAGCGCTTGCATGCATGTGCATGCATGATGACCATGTCATCTTGGCTACACTAATAAATAATAATATATCTTTATGTTCTGAGTATCAAAAACATTTCATCAAAAACTATAGACGTTATGGCTATATCAACTATATAGTTCATTTTACCCATCGCAATCGCATGCACGTGCATGATGGTCATGTCATCTTGTCTAAAACTGTTAATTTATCTTAATATTCTGCGTATCAATAAAAGCATTTCATCAAAAAATTTTAAAGTTATGGCTATATCAATTATATTGGTCATTTTACATATTGCATCCGCATGCACATGCGCATAAAATGACCTTCGTTCCATAGATCTACATAACATGCCTATTAACCCTAAAAGGTTTCACCTCAAGAGGATTTATAAGTAGTTAACAAGATCAGTCACAGACAAAAAAGTACCCAGAAAGAAGAAGAAAATAATAATAAGAAGAAACAGAGTAAATACAATATGTTCCCCAACTTTGTTTGGGGAACATAATCATGCATCCCTATTATATAGCATCATCATGGACAACACAATACTTAAAAAAAGTCCTGCATGGGTTTTTGTCCCTCTAAGACAGTTCCTACATAATCTTTAGGGGGGAAAAATGCAATCTTAACAATTAGCATTTAATTTTCTAGGTGATGATCAGTTTAAGTTCATATTTGAAATTCATTCAGTATATTCTGTTGCAGTTATTCTAAGATTATTTAAATTCATTTAATGTTACAGAACTAGTACTGTTAAGATTATGAGCTGTTCTTTTCTACAGCAATAAATTCTTTACTAAAAAAAATAGTGCAAACAGAACACAGTGACAATTTTTAATAAAATTGAATGTATAAAACTATTTAGCTGAAAATACAAATATATCTGTCATTCTGTATGTAATATTTGTATGTAAGTATTAATATTCCTTGAACATGAATACATCATCTCATTTTTTTTTTAAAGAAACCAAGACAAAGGAACATGTCCAATCTGCAAAGAATTGTTTCCAGTAGACAGTCTACAACAGCATGCTGCTACATGTGGTGATGAAGAGATGCCAGGGTAAGTGGAAGTACATGTATAAAAGCAGTTGAATAATTGAATACCGTAATTTACGAAATCAATAATTGTATACCGTAATTTACAACTATAAGTCGAGGTTTAAATTTATCAAAAGGCCCATTTTTAGCCTAATTTTTTAAATAAAAAATCCTTAAATGGGGCAATTTTTGAAGATAGTATGAAGCCTTGTTACCAATTTTCTAGAAATTCCTAAGTAAGATGCTATGTATTGGAACATGCAAACATTATGGTATTCTCTATGGTACTCCCCATGAAAATGGCACATCCTGCTTTAAAATTGACATAATTATTTATAACTTGGGGTGCACTTTAAGTTAACTTTAGTCTTTGTCAATTCCTTTAAATTGGGGACTCTAATGGTTCCGAGGAAAAAGTATCAACCTGTAGTCCGTAAATTATGGTAATTACAAGATCATACTATAAATATCTTGATATAATTTGTTTTATTTTACTGATACATTGTGAATATAATACTGAATTATGCTTAACTCAGGAGTCTCAAGGTTGCTCTGACCCAGAAAAGATCTGTGTTTGAAAACGAGGATAAAGAAGTGTGGAATATCAAAGTCCTGAGACGAAATTTCATGAAAACAGCAATTGAGCAATTGGAGGATGCTGATCCAGATGACTGGATAAAGAAACCAAAGGTTGAGTTCATTGGAGAGGAAGGAATTGACTGTGGTGGACTTTTCCGGGAATTCTTTTCGTTACTGTTCAAGGATGGGGAAGAATTCGAAGGAAATAATTTCAGTGTCAACTCAAAACTTCTTGACCAAAAGAGATACATGCTGGCTGGAAAGGCTGTAGCCACATCAATTTTACATGGTCATCCAGGTCCAAGGAGATTAAATAAGTATGTGGTGGATTACATTTTGACAGGAAAAATACCAAATATGGACAATGTTTCTACTGAGGAGTTAAACAGGGAGGATTTCAAACATGCTATAAAACAGGTAGCTTTTATTGTTCTCAGAGGGCCCTTAGTCTCAGTCTAATGGAAACACTGTACATGTATTTATATATATAGTGTACATAGCAGAATGTTAGTTAAATGTCATTTTTTGATTCCCTGCTGTAAGTGGGATGTTCAAAAAACTTTTGTTTACATTTAAATATTAACCAAAATGTTTGTGTACGTCATTAATTCAAATATCCCAGTAACTATAGATATTTCAACATGTTATTTGAGTCAATGATGAATTTTTATACATTTAGATGCATGTATCTAAAACAGAAATATGTCCATAGGACATGATCATGAATGCCCCGCCAAGGGTATATTAGTGATGCAACATGAAAATTTGTATCAGTGTATGGGTGGGATTATTTCAACAAATTGAATATGTCAGTGTTCTAAGAAATGCATTATAAGTTTATCAGTGTGAAGGTAAAGCAGGCATATTTCCACATTTACAGTAATTCATAATTTTAAAATGAAAATTGGCCTCATAAAAACATGAAGAAAATTATTGGTGTTTGAGAAAAAAAATGTTTCAACAATGAGAAGTGCTGCCTCATTCTTCAAATCAAATCTAATAATATGATGTAGAATCAGTGTGTCAGTGTCCTAGTACCTCAGTTGCCTGGGACGAGTTGCATGAATTAATGAACAAGTTGCTTAAGTAGTTTTTTTTTTTAATTGTGCCTTGAACATATGACTATTTTAGACTTTATTTTACATTTAAGATGGAGGAGGCTTTGCCAGACAAAATAGAAAGGGTTTACGAGGACTGCATAACATTACTGGAAAATGCAGGGTACCAGCAACGACTTGTGTATCAAAACAAACATGATGCTGTTAGGGCACTGAAAGCACATTGTCTTCTGTATGGCAAGATGGCTGCCATTCAGCAGTTCATAGAAGGTAATTTTTTGAGGCACATAGCCCTTCATTTTTGTCAAAGTGAGGACAAAGGACTGTATTTTTATGTAAGCTTAGGCCAAGAAAAATAAATACCATGTTTCCTATTCCAACCCGAGAAAAAATAGGGTAGGTAGGTAGGGAAAATATTTTATTTTATTTTAAAATTTTATTAGTTAAAATTCAACTTTGACAATAAACAAAATGAGATTGATTGATTGATTGTATGTTGTTTTACATCCCATTCGAGAATTTTTCACTCATATATAGACGTCACCATATACCGGTGAAGGGCTTCAAATTTTGACCTTTACTCGGCATTCAGGGCCATTGAGCAGTAAGGGATCTTTATCGTGCCAACGCCTGCCGTGACACGGGGCCTCGGTTTTTAAGGTCTCATCCGAAGGACCCGCAACTTTCACTTCAAAGTGCCGAGCGCATGGCTAAGGAACAGTTCCTACCCATTTTTTAGCTCACCTCAACGAAGTTGGAGGAGCTTATGTAATACCCTCGGCGTCGGCGTCCCAGGTTAAGGTTTTTGGAGCAGTTTTCTTTTCAAGTACAGGTGACTCTTGATCTCTCGAAGTTCAAGGGACCACAAGATTATAAGCCCTATATTGACCAAACTTGCATGGATGATACATCTAAGGATGCACACTACTGAACTTGCTTTGGATGCTGGATCTGACCTACATTTTCCAGATGAGTGACTAGGTTAAGGTTTTTGGAGTAGATCTCATTTCCAAGTAACTATAGGCCCTATATTGACCAAACTTGCATGGATGATACATCAAAGGGTGCACACTACTAGACTTGCTTCGGATGCTGGATCTGACCTATATTTTCCGGATGAGTGACCAGGTTAAAGTTTTTGAAGCAGATTTCATATCCAAGTAACTATAAACCCTATATTGACCAAACTTGCATGGATGATACATCCAAGGATTCACACTACTGGACTTGCTTCGGATGCTGGATCTGACCTACATTTTCCGGATGAGTGACCAGATTAAAGTTTTTGGAGCAGATCTCATTTCCAAGTAACTATAAGGCCTATCTGAATCAAACTTGCATGGATGATGCATCAAGGCACGAACAATCTCAAAACTTGCTTCGGATGCTGGATTTGACTTACATTTTCTGAATGAGTGACTAGTTTTAAGTTTTCAGATAAGTCCATTCCCAAGTAACTGCAAGCCCTATCAGACCAAAATTGCATAAATGTTGCATCTAGGGATGCACACTCCTAGATTATTAGTTTAGTGTGGGACTTTGCCTTACTTAAAGACAACATGCGTTGAGGTGAGCTCTGTAATCTCTGATTACCTATGTTTATCGACTTAGGTCAGTCATGGCTGAGATTCGAACTCACGACCTCCCGATCACGGAGCGAGCGCTTTACCGACTGAGCTACCGTGAACGGTAACAAAATGAGAAAAACAAAGAGTTCATTTCTTTTTCCCGAAAGGGTGGCATTTTAATGGCATTTCTGTTTAATGTGTATAGGATATGCATTTTCTCAAACGCGGAAGTGATCGAGATTAGGATTTCTAATAGTGAAAATGGATTTGTTTACTTCCGGAAAGATATCGGCAGATAAATTTTTCAGGGTTGACTCGTATATTTTAGGGTTGGTTGGGGAACCGGAAACACAATTTATTTATCTAGGCCTTATTCACATACATAATTTGGTGAGAATTTATCATCTATATCCACACATACATATTTTCTTGTTGCATTACTAATATACCCTTGGCAGGGCATTCATGTTCTATGGATAGTGTATAAAGTACATGTTTAAAAATCCATTATTTGTACCTCTCCAGCTTTCTGGCCTTTGAGTTTTGGAATATGTACCTTCATGTGTCAGTTTTATCTTCTAGCAAGTAATTGCATATATTGTATTTAAACATATGATATGCAGGGTTGTCCCTAAGAATTAAAATAGCAGGGGACATTAAAAGGGTAGAAGGGGATCTGGGGTTCCTCTGCTAATAGGGGGTTGAGGAGGAATACCAAAGTAACCGGGGGATTATGTCATTATTGGCAGGGAAATTCCCTGGTCCCTGGGTCTTAGGGACAACTCTTATATGTATCTACTTTTTTATGAATTTTACAGGATTGAAGCTACATGGAATTTTAGAAATTCTCAAGAAGTTTCCAGAAGATGGAGCCAAAGTACTCTCTGTGGACAACTTTCCTACTGCAGAAGAAATACATTCATTTCTGAAACCTACTTTCTCAGACAAGGACGAGGAAAAAAAGAAAGAGGAGGCCATAATATATAACTTCAGCAGGTTTCTTCAGAGAGTAGAACGTAAGTAGAATAGTAATGCCTTGTTTACTGACAATTTGATCTTGAGATTAACTAAATGATTGTCTCTTATTTCTGGCTGTTTGGGGGTATGTTTTAGCTCAGACACTAAAATGAAGAAATGAAGAACAAGATGTAGACTTGAAGGGGGGGGGGGGGGATGGGATGGGGGATGTTACTTGGCTTCTTTTAATAGCTTTACTCTTGTTAAGATGCGAATTGAAATAGTTGAGAATTGAAATAGTGAATCTCTTGTCATTTTCTGTTAACAAGTAATGTATTTCAATACCAATACCATATTTATACTTATATTTCATAAATTAATACTTTGCTTGAAAGAACAATTTGTCTCTTGCTTTCACTGAAGTGGGAGATATTAATTTTCAGTCCACTCAGTCTATCTGTCCGCCTGTCATTCTGTGTAATAAGTTTGTTTCCAATCAATATCTAAAAAAAAGCCTCTGAGGTATTGAAATTTAGTTCGATATCACAACTACTGTTGGCCTAATAAAGACCCCTATTGCTTCTAGGATCAAAGGTCAAGGTCAGAAATTCATAATTCAGTCTGTATGCAACACTCGTTTCCGGAAGATTTCTAAAAAAAAAAAAAAAAAAAAAAAAAAAAAAAAAAAATCAAATTCATTTCCAGATGATTAATTTGAGCTTTACTCCTAGTGCCTTAAAAGAAGACCCCTTTTGATTTTTAAGTCAAAAGGTCATGGTAGAAATTCAAACATTGCAACAGATGTCTTCCATAATGAGTTTTCCTAGACACTATTCATTGTTAATCTTATAACTCCCAATGACTTAACAACCTAAGTTTTCTTTAATATTTTGCAATGAAATTGTATACTTTTTTGTCAATATGACTTTAAAAGGACTTATATTGACTTATGAGGCCAAAAACTCAGTGGTCAAGATAGACCTTCTTTTTTTCCAATCTATATCTGCATTTTTCTTTATTCCCTTATGTGGGGGATACAAATTTCCTGAATAAGCTTGTTACATGTATATTAATTCTATGTATTTTTACTACGTGTATTTAAACATATTCTGCAGGCAAGAAAATCACAACTACATGCATTGACCCCTTTGCTGAAGTTCCAAAAGAGGAAGAGTTGTGTTTAAACATCAGTCACATTCTCACCTGTCTCTTGGGCTGTGAACGAATACCAGAAAATATTCCCTATATAGTGATAGAGTTCGACCACGAGAAGTGCAGCTTGCCAAAGGTCAACACATGTCTACCTTCTGTTGTCTTTGCCGACACCGAAAAGCTCCAAAATTATGCATACTTTGAGGAAATTATCATAAGCACAGTTGTCGGCTCATATGGTTTTGGGTGTGCTTAGGGTATTCAGGCTGTGGTATATAATATGTTTAAACACATGAACTTCTCTTTCAAACTCATTTCTTTCTCTGATGTATTATAGATGTTGATTATGTTCTTACAAACTAGAGGATATTAATTTTTTTTTATCTACCAATGAATTGAAGGTAAAGTTTAAACTTACTATGTTAAATTTTTCTTGTTAGATTGCTGTCCATCTCGGACAAAGATGTTTAGACTTGTTGAAAGATTCTTTGTTGGATTTTTTGCTGCAACTTGTACATTTAGTTTGTTTAATCATCAGATTTACTTTGGTACTTTGTGAACATCCATTTAAAACTGTGAGCAACAATTGCGCTCATATTTTAAGCAAACTCATCAAAATAAACTGAATTGGAGCCTTGTTGGTCTGCCAAGAATTTTATAAAAGTTGTTTTTTAAATAGATTTCAGATAATACTGGAGTCAATCCTGAATGTGGGCCTTTGTCAGTAAAAATAGAGGCCTCTAGACTGCAATACTCACCTGAGTGTATGTTAATTTTTGTATCCCCTTCTATATTTTCTTCATAAAACCCTGGACTCCTTTTATGGCCATATCCTGACTTTTGGAGAAGGTGTGATTTAAACAAATTACAACCTTTATAAGAAAGCATTCCTATGTATTTAATTTCATGAATTTTAAGCTCAATGCTTTTTGAGATAATGATTTTTCTCTAAATATTTTTATGTCCTACTTGGCCTACCTCTTGGGACACCATTGATAGTATGAGGGTCATAAGGTGAATTAACTTCACTCTACACTATATCAGTCTCAAGATATTATTTATGTAAAATCAAAGTACTATTACTCAGATGTTCTTGGAACAAAAAAAACAACAACACACATTATCAGGGGATTTGAAAAGATATTGAAAGAGGAAAACCCTTTTGTCAAAGAAAAATGCAAAAAAATTATCCGTCATACAGTTTTGCTACTACATGTATTTCCTTGAAATTGTTTAGAAAAAGTGTATAGCATTATAAGCATTATAAAAGTTGTAAACAGGTTCTTGGGTTATTGAAAGGGAATAAGAAAAAGTTCAAAACTATGTTGCATGACCTAACTTTTGATCAGAAAAGTTCACCTGAGTGTACAGCTCGGATGAGCTTGACAGGTTCTTGTAAGTTGCCCTCAGATTTTTACCTTCAGGTTGAAAAGAAATTTAATACATTTCAAGTTTTCAAATATTTTATTCATTTTCTTTCATCAAATGACATCTCAGGAAAAGACTATGATGTACTTCTATTAATCAACATTACCATTCATTCTGATTAATTCTGATTATTTAATATTCTTAATACTTCCATGTATAGTTTTATGAAACTGTCTATGTCATTTGCTTGATGATCTGCTATTAATTCAATGCAGTGCTCTGGTACATTTGTTTCTACTTCAGGCACAGTGACAGTTTCAAATTCATTATCACTTGAAACAGGCCCATCAAAATCTATTCCATAGTTGTTCAATTCGATCTGTAATAAGAAAATAAGCTTACAGTATTATGTCAATTAAGTGACAAGATGATTGATTTCTGACCTGGGATTGCATGTCACATAATTGCACAAGACAGTCAAGTTAACTAAATATACATGTATATAAAATCTCAAATACTTTACATCATTAGGTATTTCTAAATAAGGGTCCAGTGCTTGGCCTCTAATCCAAAGTTGCATTGGTGTCTGAGAATTCTCTGAGCGCAAAGGTCTCCTTATCAATGCCTTAACAAAGCTGTCTAAATGCTGCTGGATTTTTGGCTTAAATACCAGGTGTAAAGCCTGAATGTTTAGTTCATTTGTTACATCTAGCAAAGCATTATCCTCCATATAAGTGAACAGTTGGTAATAATAAGATGTGCATCCAGTCCACACCTCACGCCACAGTCTCTCTATTCTGAAGAAGTAAGAAACCTCTGTATATGTGGGTATAAATTGAGACAAAAAAAAATCAGGTAGTGTTGATTCAGGTTTGTTCAAATCATGACTCCAGCTGGGGGAAGGAAGGGGCCACAATGGGTGATGAAAGTTTTACAGCAGAATAGATAATTATTTTTGAAAACTTAAAATACATAAGCCATGCTTACTCGGAGAAATATGGAAGCATCCTTTGACAGTGTAGATTGAAGTTTGTTCAAATCATGACCCCCCCCCTTCCACGGACCATTTTTATATTTAAATGTAGTAGTATATTAACATCAAAATATCAAACTTTCAGATATATCACAAAGTTGTTTCTTTGTCCCATAGAGTCGAGACAAAGAGGTTTAACTGTAGTTACAGTGAAACCTCTTTATCTCAAACTTGGTTCAAGTAGTATTCAATATATCTGGGGTAAAATAGTTAAAGAATAAGTAGTTGGGACTTCCAAATCACTTTGACCTATCATGGTATTTGAGATGTCATTGTTTGAGATACTATGCATATAAATGTTTTCAGATTTAATCAATAACTTGAGACATTGAGACCTGGTCCCAAGACCATAAACTGAGAACAGACTTGAGTCAAAATTTCAAATCAATATAACTTTTGAATTAATTTTAATAAGGAAACAAAATTTTCATCATATGTTAACATTGGAATATTATAAAAACCTGCATATTTTTAAGCACACATGTTAAATAAAACTCAAGATATTCAAAATCAAGATTTTGACTTAAGTCTGTTCTCAGTTTATGGTCTCGAGGCCTGGAATGATATTGGCAGGACAATGAGAGGTGATGATCGCAACATTGAGCTTTTAAAAGATGGCATATAAAATAATGGTCAATGTTATGACATATAGCTCATTTAAACTTAAATGCCCAAATATGAACAAACCTTTGATTATGTACACTCCTTCCTGCTATGAAACTCCTACTCCCTCTATTGCATAACATAAACTCTGCCACTTTCACATTTTCACCCCCCTTATCAGACCTAACTCTCTCGGGTAAACCCCATCTTTGTACAGCTTCAACAAAATTTTGAAGGACTGTGTCAGCTTTATTGTTTGTGTTCACAGCTAAGAAGACTGGCACACGGGAATAACCATCAATTCCTCCATGAACCACGAAGCGCCACCTGAAATATATTGAAATTTTTATCAAACTTTTAGATCAATTGTGCATTTTAAAATTTTGGGAATTGTTAAAAGTAATTACCATCTTATTTTAACAAAATACATAGTACTTCACACAACTTTTGGCGGGTTGGGGTAGCGGCAGTTGGTACAAACCCATGAATTCATTGATTCGTACTTTTTTAGCTCACCTGAGCCGAAGGCTCAAGTGAGCTTTTCTGATCACATTTTGTCTGTAGTCCGTCTGTCTGTCCGTCTGTAAACTTTTCACATTTTCGACTTCTTCTCAAGAACTTCTGGGCAAATTTCAACCAAACTTACCACAAAATATCCTTGGGTGAAGGGGATTCAAGTTTGTTCAAATGAAGGGCCACACCCTCTTTCAAGGGGAGATAATAAAGAATTAGTGAAAAATTAATAGCATCTTTTAAAAATCTTCTTCTCAAGAACCACAGAGCCAGGGAAGATGAAACTCATGTGGAAGCATCCTCAGTTAGTGTAGATTCAAGTTTGTTCAAATCATGACCCCCGGAGGTAGGACGGGGCCACAATGGAGGATCAAGTTTTACATAGAAATATTTAGGAAAACCTTTAAAAATCTTCTTCTCAAGAACAGCAAAGCCATGATGAGTCATATTTATTGAAACATCCTCAGGTAGTGTGGAATGGTAATTAAAGTCTTCATTTTAATCTAGTTTTGAATTTAAACCAGTGAGTCAGTATTTGAAATTTGGAATGATTTACCTCAATCAAAAGAAAATATGTCAGCCAAAACTTGTGTGCATTTAGTCAAAGTTTTTGTGAGTCCTTCTGTGTTCATGTCAGTGCTGGGTTGACACAATGAAGTCAATTTTAACACTTAAGTCATTAATAATTGATTTAAAGTGTAGGCAAGCTTGAGTAAATGTCTAGATAAATTGCTGAAACTTCTTTGTTGGCATAATTTCTGACAAAGTTTGAACAAATTACATCAATCACTGCAACAAGTATTAATGAGTAACAAGAAAATATAGGTCAAAGAGTTGACCTTTCAACTCAGATGTTTAAAAATGTAAGGCAATACTAACCGTATTAACTTGTGATTGCCATCTATATGCCATAAGGCCCGGGGAGCTCTAACATTGTATGCCCTTCTTTGTATTCGGTGAACACTTAGAAATAGTCTCCTGAACAAAATGCCTTCTGGATCCACTTTTCTAACAGCATCGCGTACTCTTTGCCTTTGTATTCTATGTCCTTTACTGACAAGAATTGATTGAATTGATTTTGTTCCTGCCTCAGGAAATTCTTTTACAACATTTTCAACCAATTTGTGCAGATCGGGCTCGGAAATAGTGCTGAAAGTGTTGTGAACACTTAAGTTGAAGTCCTTTAACCGACGCTTCACTGTAGATGGACTTACACAAAGCATATCTGCCATTTCAGATATTTTGAAACTGTTGTCCAAGAAAAATTCCAAAATCTCTTCCGAGATTTCAAAAGATGGTCTCCCTCTTTCTGTCCTTTGACAGAGATGTGCTTTGAAGTGAGACACTTTATTTTCATGAAAATAATATTCTTTTTCTTCCTGAAAAAGTTTTACACATCGGGTGAAAAGTTCTATGATCTCATCAATATCAACAAATGCTGCTAACTGGCTTAACATGTCCATGGTATTTTCAATATCACGTTCAATGTTCAATGTTCCATTATTTTTCAGGCAGTTAATAAGGTTAAGTATTTTTTGTCTCAAGAGTCTTTTCATTTCATTTAACATCCCATCATCCTCCATGTCCATTGTATCAGTACACCTAATTATAAGAAACAAACTGTATGTGGCAGATGCATCAACCTGGTCCAGTACAATCAGTGCATGTAGTGCCTAGTTTGAATTACCTACATCAATGTATATTAAGCAACTTAAAGTAGCTTTATTTTGACATTACTTCATACTTATTTCTTAAATGATCATTTTTTTTATTTTTTAGCATGTGCACAAATTTGCATGTTGATGCAGTGATAGTTTGCAACTTTGAACAGATCCGAAAAAAATTCATGAAAAAAAAAAAAAAAACACTTTTCAAGATGCAACTGCAGTCAACTTTCTACAGTTTATTTTTGACCAAACAGTATGTTACTTCTTCATGTTCTTGAATGAAATAACAAAGAAGACCAGTTCTGGTTAACATAATACTTGGTTGGTAATCATGGTAAATATTCATCATTATGTGAATTTATCATACTTATCCATGCCTCGCCGCACAAATGTGTGTCACAGGTGGTGAAAAATCACTCAGGGCCTCTGGCGTACCGTGTCAGCACTCTAACCACTGAGCTATTGAGACCTGATATATTGACTCACAGGGACTTGAGACAAATCTTAGCAAAATCGGGTATATAGTACATGTATAATATACTATATACCCGATTTTGCTAAGATTGCCTCAAGTCCCTGTGTATTGACTAATTCTCACACACCTGTGAACCCAGTGACATGTGGAATACAGTTACTGAAAAATTACTCATCTTTTGCTTAATAGTTTTCAAAACATTGCAACTTGCTCAGAAAAGGCCAAGTGAAGTAACTTTAAGTAGCTAAATATATCTACGGTTGGTAATTCAAGTTATAGCTAAATGCACTCTACTTGGACCTAGCTGAACAGGTCTGGCACAATCTCTTGATTTAGCTATATAGCTTGATTTAGCTATATAGCTTTATTAAGCAATTCAAATAGCTTGATTCATCTATTTTATCACACTTTTCTCAATGTAAAAATCACTCATCAAATTGCGTCTCCTTAAGCATTAAGAGACTTTGTACTCAAAGTTCTTAAAGTTTTGGGGCTATATAAAGTAATTGATACGGTTACTTCTTCATTGAAATTATAAAAGAGGCCAATTTTGGTCAACAAGATAATTGATTGGTAATAATTCAATACAATGAGAAGCAATCATACTTATCCATGCCTCAACGCACACAAGGTAGTGTACAGTTATTTAAACAATGGAAATTCATCTTTTGCTTAAAAGTATTCAAATGCTGCAATGATAGAACTATCTTTGATTTCTGTTGTTGTTTTAATAGCCCATAGTACATATATGAATAATCAAACCCTTGCAACTTTTTTGTCTATTTCTTAAAAGAAAACATTTTTATGAAAAACTGCACATAAATAACTTTATCAAGCTATTTTAAATAGCTTAATAAAACTATATAGCTTTTTCAAGCTATATAGCTAAATCAACAGATTAAGCTGGACCTGCTAAACACATGTACATGTATGTCATGTGACCGAATTTTCTCTACATTCAATTATAAACACAGAGAAGAAACTCTGATTATGATAATCAAACGGTTTGAAACTGATAATATGAATTTCCATACGTTTATGTCTTCCTTGCAAAAAAATAAAATAATTTACCTCAATCTTTAAAAAGGCTGGATAAATAATTGTTCCGAAGGTGTATGACATAAACTGGTCCTCCTATATGATTCTATAGTCTGTTTCCAAAAAGATTCGATGTGGCGCGCGCCCTCTGTCGTCATAATGATAAAATATCTTACGAAATACGAATGTCGAACTAACATCGGACGCATTACCTAATGATAATTGCCGTAACTCAAACAACAAAGTACAAATGATTAAATACGGAAAACGAATATCAAGTCTCATATTTACATTGCATAAATAATGCATTCACTTTTTACGCATCTACGCAGACATTATATCCCGTTAACATGTTACGCCTTTCAAATAACGAATATACGGTAATATACCACAAATGTCAAAATAATAATTTACATTTTTACATTTACGTAAAACAAATTGCGCATTTAGTAACAACAAATACATAATTACATAGATAGAATATTGAACCCTTTGGCTTTCCATAAATATCCTTCTGAAAGAATTACACAGAATTTCTAATTTTTTTGGTTACCATGTCAACACTTCATTCAAATCAATGAGGCCCGTGGGCCACAATGCTCACCTGAGTTACTTTAATCTTGATGTTCTTCATCAGATTTTTAAATTTCCTTGAAAAAAAGGTATATTATGGCCCAACCCAACTTGCACTTATGGAGAAGAAAATTCTTTTCCTGTGTACATGGATTTTGTAAAATTTGATCCTAATTTTCACCAACTCTAACCCAGAGTTGATAATTTGAAATCAGAAAGAAAAAAATTAAATTCACACAACATGAAAATGTTCGCAAATTAACAGTTCTATTGCGTTTCCATAAAAGATTTAAAAACAAATTTCTTATATTATTCCATACAAAACTTTGATCCCTATTGTGGCCCCATGCTACATGTACCTCTTGGGCCATGAGTTGAACACTTTAGAATCTACACTACCTCAGGAAGCTTTCATTCAAGTTTCATCTTTTCTGGTTCAGTGGTTCTTGAGAAGAATTTTAAAGATTTTTCTCATATATTTCGATGTAAAACTTGGATTCTTTATTGCAGACCCACCCTTCTCCCATGGTTCATGATTTTAACAATCTACATTATGCCTGAAATTACATTTTCACATAAGTTTCATTTTCAGTCAAGTGGTTCATGAGAAGATTTTTAAAGACTTTACTTGTATATTTAAATGTAAAACTTTGATCCCTTATTATGGCCCCACCTTACCCCCAGGGGTCATGATTTTAATAATTTAGAATCTACACTTCCTCAGGAAGCCTTCTCATAAGTTTCATCTTTTCTAGTCCAGTGGTTCTTGAGATGAAAATTTTTATTTAAAGATTTTTCTTATATTTCAATGTAAAATTTGGCCCTTTATTGTGGTCCCACCCTAACTCAGGGTCCATGATTTGAACAACTTACAATGTACATTATGTCTGGAAGCTTTCACATATTTTTCATCTTTTCTAGTCCAGTGGTTCTTGAGAAGATTTTTAAGTTTTTTTTAAATTATATATTTCAATGTAAAATTTTGATCCCTTATTGTGGCCCAACCCTACCCCTGGGGGTCATTATTTGAATAATTTAGAATCGAATCTACACTTCTCCAGTAAGCATTCACATATATTTCACCTGTTCTCAAGAAGATATTTTAAAGATTTTTCTTGTATATTTTATGTAAAACTTTTGTTCCTATTGTGGTACCACCCTAATCCTGGGGGTCATGATTTGAATAATTTAGAATCTACACTTCATCAGGAAGCTTCCACATAAGTTTCACTTTTTCTGGCACAGTGGTTCTTGAGAGGATTTTTTAACGACCCCATCCTATTTTTGCCTCTTTTTTTTTTAATTATCTCCAACTTGGTGACGGGCATGGTCCTTCATCTGAATAATTTAAAACCTGTTACCCAAGGATGCTTTGTGCCAACTTTGGTTAAAACTGGACAATGGGTGATCAGAAAAGCTCACTTGAGCAAAACACCGATACAGAGAATCAAGTATCTTAGTGTATTCTTCTTGTGAACCAAGCTATATTAAAAATCTGGCCAAAAACTGTAGGAGGAATAGTACTAGTATTTTGAAAAATTGTTTACAGACAGACAGATGGATGGACACCTTACTATTGCATATGCTCTTCTGGTCTCTGACTAGTAGATTTAAAAGTTCAGTTTATTTATTTTTTTCAGATATTTCTCCAGTCATCCAATTATATTATCAACAATAGTGTGCAATTTCAATTCAGATTTGATAAGATAGACACCAGTAATGCAGTCTGGCTTTTCTAAATGCAGTCTACTGCAATTAATCACATTGCATATTGCATTTAAAGGCAACATATATTTTTGGTAAAACCAGGCAACCATTTTCCAGGCTGCTCTCTGATGTCCTGCCTCAAATGATATGCACAATAATCAAAGAAAGATAACTCTAAACAGATTGGGGTTCCTTTATCTAGCTGAAGAACACATACAATACACAGTCATATTGACTATGAAATTTATGTGTAAAAATATTGCAAAAAACTATTTTAACTCATCAAAATTACATTGTATAAGCTGTGCAGTTTGAATCTTTGTTAAAGAACTATATACAGTAAAGGCACCCCCCCCCAAGTCATTTTTTTAAAAATCTCTTGAAATGTGGACAATTATATATATTTGTATAAAATAAGTTTGAATTAACAAAATGCACTGTTGATTTGGGGAAAATATTGGTATTTTCATCTCTGTGACATCACAAACTACTGAGATTTCCTGTTGGTTTTTAAAAAGAGTGAAAATAATAAATGAATTTTGTTTAGATCTGACTTTTGTTTTTATAGAGCACAATCTTGCTCGAGAACTATTTTTAAACTGAAATTATCATTCTACACAATACATCGAAAAATGGAATCTGAGCATACCTGCACTCAATATTTTCCAATCAAATTATCGCTGTAAGATATACTATTTTCTTTTTATTAAAATTCATTGAAATGCTGAATTTACGTCATTTTTTTTGACATTATACTTTTATTTAAATCACAGTGGATAAAAAATGTTTAATGCTTTGAAGTCTGCATATATTCTAATGGTTTGGATCATAATTTAAGATTTCCCCATGAAAGTTTCATTTGGGGGGGGGGGGGGGGGCAGATATTGGTGATTACCAAATATAGTCCTTTGAATCCATTCTAATTACTTTATCCAGAGACTGTTGATAATGAAAGCTATTTCTTTTCAAATAACCATTTTTTAAAAATAAATATTCAAACATAATACATATCCCCTCTAAATTACAGAGGATCTGGTAGAAAATAACAGTTTCTTTAATCTAGCTCCACCGGGGATAAAGAAACACTTTGGCTGGTGGACTGATGGGCGGAATCCGCAGACGTTGATTGCTGCATAGAGTCGTCATCCCCATCATCCCCCATAATGCTTTGTAGTATATTTCCTGTTGAGGAAATAAAAGAATATTTTTAGTTTAACTTGGTGAAACTGAATTCCATAATGCTTTGTAGTATATTTCCTGTTCAGAAAATAAAAGGATATTTTTAGTTTAACTTGGTGAAACTGAATTCCATAATGCTTTGTAGTATATTTCCTGTTCAGAAAATAAAAGGATATTTTTAGTTTAACTTGGTGAAACTGAATTATCATTACAAAATACTGATGCATTGATGCTTAGTAAATGTTAACAACCATAAAATACTTTTGTTAACTGAACAGTGGGACTTACTGGTCACTTTACTGGCAAGTTTGTTTAAGCAACATTGTTGTGTTTATGAGATTGCTTATTTAGGCCATCCACAATACTAGTGCTTTTGTCAATGTAATTATCTTGTCAATGTCACAATAATCATCATAAAAAATCATCTCAGGTTTCAGACAATACTGACAATATTATTATTACATGTATACATTTCTATTAAAAAAAATGGGAGTCCTTTTATGCCTCCTCCCTGCATGGGGCCATGACTAGAACAAATCTGAATTTACATTTCAGGAGAAAGCTTGCATACCGGTATAGATTTCAGGTTTTGAAAACTTGTATATATGTAGTTCTTGAGAAGAATATTCCTATTTATTTCTACATGAAAAATTTTGACCCCTTTTGATCCCCATCTTAGATTAAAGGGCCAAGGTCTGAACAACTCTGAATGTTCACCACACGAGTGAAGCAGGTGACTTAAAAGGAGTATTTCTTACCAAAGAGGCCCTGAGACTGTTTAGGTGGAGGTGGTAATCCAAAAAATAGCTGTCCTATTTGGTCTAGATACTAAAAAAAAAAAATAAAACATTAAACAGAAGCAGACATCTCATTTTTTCTACTGGATTATAATTATGTATCCTTTGTTTAAGTACTGTTTATTACATTTTCAGCAGTGAAATACTGTATTTCACTGTTGAAATTGTAATTAACAGTCCTTAAACATTTTACTATAATTTATTTATTCAATAAAAGTGATATTTTGTTACATGTGTGAAAGAATATCAGAAGTGTGGCAAAACTCGAGATTTTCCTTCCCTTCACAAAGAATGTTTTAAAAATACTCCCTTTCCTGTTATAAGATAGAGTAAATAAACCATCCTGATAGAAGCTAAAACTGCAAAATCCCCAAATATGTTATCAAAGTCAATGTTTACAATGTTTTCAATTTCAAAATCTCTAAGCTATGACATCTCAACCACTCAAGTATGACTTCACAGCCTATGACACTGATTTACCAAAAGACGGTGGCAAAGGGAAAATCAAAGATAATGTAATAAACAGAAAATTCAAGGTTTTGTAATTGAATATTCTTTGTTTAAGTAATGTATATTCAATCTTTTGCAGCTGTTACACATAAAACTGGTTTTACCTGGACTTGGAGACAAGGTCATAAGGTGATAGCCAGTGACATGGCTTGACCTTGACCTCAAGAGACATGCATTTTACACTATAGGTTACTGGTAACAGCATTCTAGTATTGTTTCATTTCACTCCATTAAATGGTCCAAAATTTATAGCATAGACACACACTGAGATATCATTTCAAACATTTCATAACCCTGTGACCATGCATATGACTTTTGTCAGATATACCCTTGATTCTAATTCATTGTATACTTTTTAAGTTATGATCAATGACCTAATAGGATGAAACAATTAAAGTCAGACCAAGATAAAAGCCCAGACATGATTTTTGGACAGACAGAATACACAGCCACCTTTAAAGGGCCTAGACAAAGTTGCATTGTTTACTATTTTGAATGTCTATTTTTATTCAAAAATGACTTCAGTTTAAAGATTAGAACTTACATGAATATTCTAAAAATTCAATGACAATGACATTCTTTATAACATCACACCAAACATCTGTGTTTGTAAACAGGGCACAAGCTCTGTTATTGTTAATGTTTACATTTTACCGGGTGTGTTCAATTTGTTTAGTCTGCCATTACTGAGCACGGACTGACAATACTGGTGAGTTCATTTTTCGCTCGCATTTCTACTCTGAATTTTCTGGATTAGAGTTTTCATATTTTTCATTAATACACAACAAAATTTCTACTATTCTTAAGTATTATGGTAAAAGTTTACTTTCTGAAGGTGCAGGATATGTGTCAATCAAATGCATCACTAAATTCATAGTTTTCACAAATTCCAGATAAAAGAAATTTCTAAGCATGCTTTTAAAATATTTCGGTGTGAAATGCTCTAGCTATGAATAAGTAGCTAAATAAATAATGACATATGATAAATGAGCAAATGACTATCTCGAGAAAATAAGGTGTCACTAAAATTATGTGATCTACAGTACTTTCCAGGAATTTTTCCTGGTGTGTCAAATACCTTGATCTCTTATTTAATTTAAACAATTTATCAACAAAATTAAATGAAAGTGGGTATCAGGCTGATATAACCCTTACCTGTGTCTGTTACCCACCCTAATTCCTTGTTTGTACTCTTATATTTACTCCTGATCACCTAGAAAAATGAGGATCATACAAACCTCTCTGTATGAGGGATCTCTGTTTATTGATACTTGGTATTTTTCACATAAAATAGAGAACACAGCTACCCTTCCCCTGTAAATAAATTTTAAAAATAATAAATAAAATATTTCGTGATGACACAATAATGCATTGACTGCCTACAAGTACTTTTATGAAATTGTTACATGGGTAACAATGTTTTCTGAACAGTACATTAAGTGTTTCCCTTAAGAATATTATACGCAGGTAGGTTAAGGCTTCCCAAAGAATATCACATTACATCATGTGCAGTCACTTCTCTGAACTACCAAGATACATGTATGACGTCATAATTGAATATGACGTCAAGTCACTGCACACTTGAGCTGTCATGAAGGGAGAGTGTCATAAAGTTCACGCCTTATTACAAACAACATGTAAATGTTAGAACACTATTGTAAAATTTATGTGTCTTGACTATAATTCTAAGCCTAAGTGTGTGTAATTATTATTGAATATTAAAATGTTACTTCATTTAATTTCTCTAGAATAACATTACATGTATTTAATACGATATTGCAAACACTTGACTTCGAAATGCTCCCTTTTACAGGACCTTGATTAGAGATAAAATTTATATGTGTGTAAATAACAGGCTAAAGCAAGTGATTAATAAGGATTAACTTTTAATATTTTGTGAAAATTTATAACAGGACAATGTTCTCTAGATGAATCTTGCTGGGATACCGATGGAAGTGTAATCGCTTTGCTTTGATATAAATTACTATGAAGATTGCAATATACCCTCAAATGTATGGGTAAGTTGAAATTCTCATGCAGTATTTCGTACACTAATAATGCTATGGCCTGTCCCAAGCACTTTTCATGTACAATAGAATACAATAATTTTATCTATGTATCAAAATGTAAATAAAAATTACGTTATATGCACTTTCGCCAAGGCAATTTATATGCAACACTTGAAAAAATTATAGTTGACAGTCACTTGATCAACCCAGTCATGTGATGTAGCAATAAATGTGTTGATCCTTAGTGGGTTAAAAATTTCTGGGGAGCTTATAGAGGGAGAGGCACTCAATAGGATGATTATGGTAACTTTTAGTGAGTACTTACCCTTCTACAGCTAATAGTAAGAACCATAGAAAGTTAAGGAGAGGGTGAACATAAGGGGGACCACTCCGTACATCAGGGTGATCTTCTGTGTATTTAACAAAGGCAACCTGTGCTGTGTCTTTGTTTTTCAAACATAAATATCTAAAGAAAAAAAAATACAGAATAACCCATTTGACTACAGTGTTGTCTAAAATTTTATATGAAATACAGGAGAAAAACTTTATAGTCATCATAGAAGAAAAAGACTGTAGGTTTTGCAGGTTTTCATATTTTTTAAGGAAAATACAGGTAATTGGTACCCTTTTTAAAACCATTTCAGTTGTAAAAGTTTTCAGACAGTTGTTAGAAAATATGTCTTTATATATTATATTTTCATTTATTAACAAAAAGTTTCCAAAGAGAAATTTGAAAAGTAAATCTTACTGCAGAACTGCCTGTGCTATGAACAGGTCTACTTCACTTGGGTAACCACCTTTTATATGGCACTCTATTAACATAAGGGCACAATTCTTTCCATCATGTGAATGTATGAGATGATATCTTGCTTGCACATAATTCTTTTCTGCAAAAATAGAAAATGTACTATATACATATTAGTCTCTTTTTTCAGGGGGGGGGGGGGGGTCAGAAATATTGGAAAATCATATAAAATTTTACTGCAAAGAAAATGGTGCAAACATAAATTTTGTTTTCATCTAATTCTAATACAGATCACGGTAGAGAGAAGAGATTTCGACACATTACCAACTTCACTTAGTAAAAATGTTTAAAGTCTTTAGTTAGCGCTTAACTCTGAGTCTCTTATACATGTTTAAAAATGTGTTGAGTTACACGACTGTGTTGGGATATTGTATTACTAATGTATATGGTACAGACTGACCATCCCAGAAGGACAGTCCCAGCTTCTGATGGAGATCAGGATGGCCACGCTTGTGTTGTGAGTTGACCTTCATTGTCCATCGAACAGCGGCCACCACAAAATTCTGCCTTTCTTCACTTTGGGGTTCCATTCCTTTAAATAAGGTTATTATTTTTTCTGGAAAACAAAAGTTTAGGTAATTATGAATATTTTCAACATTTTACTACTCATACAACAAATCTTTGTGAGAAATGTGAATACCTATCATGTCCTCTGATACAGGAGTTTCTGACTGATTGAGGAGATCTATCAGTAAAAATGACAAATCTGTGAAACTGGATGTCTAAAATGAGAAAGCACAATAATTAAAAAATAGACATTTCAAATCTCTCACATAAGTAACGTTATAATGCAGTAGTTTGGGATATAATATGTACCGTGGATATTGGCTTGGCTAGCTCTGTGGTTAGAACACCTGACTAGTGATACAGGGGTCCCAGGTTTGATTTCCGGTCCAGTCATATATTTTTCTTTATTTATTCCCCCTTTCTTACTACATTTTTTTGGGCCAGTGTGGTAAGTCTTGTTCAGGTGATATAAAAATCAGTAATTTCTGAAAAGGTGAACTTGTGTTGTTGTGTATCTTTCAGGTCAGACTGTTTAAGGAGTAAGTGGTACTTTGAGGATACTTCCAAATTTATATGCCTAATCATGGCTTTGCTAAACTTGGGAAGATTTGTAGAGATTTTTTCCTGTATCTTCCTATGTAAAACTTTGATCGCCCTGTTGTTGCCCCACTCTACTACCAGGGGGTCACAAATTGAACAAATTTAAATCTACATTATAAAATGAAGCTTTCACTAAGATTCATCTTTTCTGGCCCAGTGGTTTTGAGAAGGAGATTTTTAAATGATGCCATTAAATTTTCACTAATTCTTAATTATCTCCTCTTGAAAGAAGGTGTGGCCCTTCATTTGCCTTGCACCCAAAGATGTCCAGTGCTAAGTCTGGTTGAAATTTGCCAAGTGGTTCTGGAGAAAAAGGATGAAATTGATGACAATAACAGAGTATGGACAAATTCTGATCACTTGAGCCTTTGGCTCAGGTGAGCAAAAAAAGTACACTTGAAACCCTGCATATAAGAATTGTACAACTTAAATTTGAATGATTCTAAAATGATCTAAAATTGACCTTTGCTAAATATTTTGAAAAGACCTAGACTTGAAAATATTTTTTTTTTAAATTTCTTTGACCTTGATTATTATCAATGAACAACTTGGCTCAGCTCTGTATGTGATGGTGAAACTCCCATTAAAGACCCACTTTTTTAACGTACAGTTTCCTGAGGAGAGGGAGTTTCCTGTAATTTATCGCCTCATTAAAAAATTATGGCCTGTCATATATTATACAGAAACTGTATTATACCCTTACAACTATATTATACCCTGTCAAATATAAGTTTCAACTTTACTGACCCAGTGGTTCTTAAGATTTTTTAAAAGATGCCATGAAATTTTCACTTAATTCTTAATTATCTTTTGAAATAGGGCATGGTCCTTCATTTGAACAAACTTAAATCTCTTCACCCAAGGATGCTTTGTGGCAATTTTGGTTGAAAGTGACCCATTGGTTCTTGAGAAGAAGATGAAAATGTGAAAAAAGCTGACAGGCAAGGAACAATGATCAGAAAAGCTCACTTGAGCCTTTGGCTCAGTTGAGCTTACGAGACAAACAAAAAATAACATTAAACAAACCGATATATAAACATTTAGAAAAATAAACATACCTGGTCATGTTTCATCAATGTTAAAGCCCCATGATAGAGTAGGCTTGCAGCTTCTTTGTACTTTTTCTGTCCTTTATATCTAAAATATTAAATGCCAAATAAATAATAAGTATGAAAAGTTTACTTATGTGTCATTTTAAAATGTAGAATTAAACAAGAGGCTCATGGGCCACATAAAGATATTTCCTACATATTACTAATATGTAAACATTTGATCCACTGTTGTGGTCTCTCCCTACCCCCAGGGTCTTGATATGAACAAGCTTGAATCTACACTACCTGACAGAGGATACTTCTGTATTAATATGACTAATAATGGCCTAGCTGTTCTTGAGAAGAAGATTTTTAAATATAGTTCCTATATTTTCCTATGGTAAACTTTGACCCCTGTTGTGGCCCTGCCCTACCCCCAGGGGTCATGATTGGAAGTCCAAACCAACTTGAATCTACACTACATGTACCTGAGGATACTTCTATAATAATATGACTAATCATGGCTTTGCTGTTCTCAAGAAGAAGATTTTTAAAGACATTTCCTATAAATTCCTGTGTAAAACTTCAACCCCCTCTTGTGACCCCACCCTACCCTCGGGGGTTATGATATGAACAAACTTGAATCTAGAGTATGTGATGAAGCTTTCATCTTTTCTTGCCCAGTGGTTCTTGAAAAGAAGATTTTTAAAAGATGCCACCAAATTTTCATGAATCCTTAATTATCTCCCCTTGAAAGAGTGTGTGGCACTTCCTGTGAACATACTTAAATCCCCTTCACCCAAGGATGCTTTATGGCAAGTTTTTTTTTTAAATTGACCCTGTGGTTCTTGAGAAGAAGTCGAAAATTGTGAAAAGTTTACAATGATGATGACAACAGACAATGGGCAAATTTTGATCAGAAAAGCTCACCTGAGCCAAAGCCTTTGGCTCAGAAGAACTAAAAATATCTTGTATGCTTCTTATACACAGAAATAATTTAATCAAAATAATTTAATCAAATAAATACAAGCCTAGGTTCGATAATGATAATCATAAACTATTTACTAGCTTATATAATTCTTCAATGCTGGAATCGTAATTTATCATGTTATGATCTCTATGATTAAACTACAAATATAAAACCATCTACAAAAAAAATCATCTTTCGACTCCATCTTCAATAGATAATGTAACAGGTAACGAGTGGGTTCGCCCCGATTACATGTTCACTCTGAGTGGTTTTGCCCCCATTAAATCTGTAACCTGTAAGGCCAAAAAAATAATAGTCTTGTTTCCTGCTACCAGCCTGAAAAAAATAGGGTAGGTAGGTAGGAAAATTATTTTATTTTATATTTTTATTTTATTTTTTTCCGACGACATTTTTTAGGATATGAACTAATACAAGATCAAAATAAAAATGTCACAGGTCAATATTGTCTTTTAAAATAAAACTTTCATGTCTTTTTATGCACAACTCAAGTGGTACAGTGAACTCGCCAATTACGGGTCACGTCAGGCTGTTTTGTTGATATTTTGCAAAGTTGTTTGATTTATATTTTATGCAACATATGTATTGAAAGTACAAATGGTGAGTCATACAAGAGTCTTTTTATTATTAAAATAGGTAAACGGGAACAATATTTACAGTCGTATTTCAACAAGGCCTAGTTTCCCCACTTACGAATCATTTTCTCCATTTCCTGGTCATGTGACTTCGTGGTCTTATAATATGAAGGGATCGTTTTGTAACATGATTTTTATGATGTGGAAGCATAAAATAATTCATGCAGCTCAGAAAAAACATAAACAACCACAGAAAAAAACAGTTTTAATTATTAACAAAAACAAAAAAAACAAACAAACAAATAAAAACAAACAAACTATTGCAATATGTAGTAAAAAAAAAAATCAATAATAAAAATATGACTATATGTCATATATATATCTGTTAGAATTAATATGAAAAAAAGTACTGAGAATATCATTTAATCTCAGTGTCCTCTGGAATGTTCATTTATTTTTTTTATTTCAAGAGAGTTCAGAATTAAAAATCTATTATTTTGTAAAAAGTGTAATTACTGTCCCATCCACCAACTCTTCACAAACTCATTTTGAGTGACAGGCGTGGCGGGAGGGTGTGTATTGGAGGGACTTGGAACCGGTTGTCAAGTGGTATCAGCTGTAATCTCTCACATGTTACAAAAAATTACGAAAAAATGATTTTTCTGGACCTTAAATACAGCCTATGATAACAATGAGGATTCGCAATAAAAAAAAGATATTTTAAGATTAAAATTATACAATTAAAGTTTAAAAAAATGTATTTGCAAGGTAAACTCTATTTTATTTTTTAAGACATATTTCCCTGGTAGAATACTTTCAAAACTCAGGGTAAATACATGGTTGCCCGAAGGGTTTGTAGATTGAGTTTTGACATGTTCCATGTCATGAGATTACGTGAACCGCAATAGGATAAACTACTACAGTTTGATTTATTAAGCAGTGTAAATTTATTTGAGCAGTGATCATTATGATTGATTTCTGAGTTATAACTGAATGCATATGCCATACTTTCGAGCTACTATTGTTTATCTAGAACTTTTAAATCAGCCATGCTGCAGCGAACAAAAACAGGGTTCGAAATTCACTATATACAACTCGCAAAACGCGAGTTAGAATTCCTAAATTGCGAGTTAAAAATTAGGTAACTCACAAAAACTTGCGAGTTGATTTTTTTTTCTTTTTTCTTTTTTGCATTGAAACTGTAGCAAAATTATTTAATATGACAGAACACAATGCTTTTGATTTAAATCAGTAATTTAACTAAAAGTCACACTGTAGTTGTATTTTGTGTATTGTACAGAAGTTACTTCTTCCTTAAGTTACATGTATTTAATTAATTTATATAAATTTAACTTTATATGAAAATTGCGAGTAGTCTTATAAAATTGCGAGTTCACTTTCTTGGTACTCGCAATTATTTGCGAGTTGTAATTTTAGGGAGTTTCTAACCCTGAAAAACAAAAGTAGCCTGTCAATGAAGCACAAACATCCCTGTCTTCAATGCACGCATTTCATAATTTCGTTTGTCGGATGCTCTTTTAAAGTTGATTTTCAAAATTTTGCTATTGATTACAGAAAGAAAGACCAATTCTTCATGACCAGTGTATTTATTAGGTTTTTTGGGCTTTAATTTTAACAATATGGCATAAAATACACACGAGTGACCCGGAATTGGAGACGACCCGGAATGGGCGACTCCACTGTATTTTATGAAAGTCCATATTTAAAACAAGAATTTCATGAAATGCTTGTTTTGTGTCAACACAGAAACTGATTACGGTGACAGATCCATGAAATTCCAAAAATTCCCGATTTTTATTCTTCCAAAACTTAAAAAAAAACTTTAGGGTAGGGTGCAAAAAAATAGGGTAGGTTGGGTAGCAGGAAACAAGACTATTATTTTTTTGGGCCTAATTCAAGGTGTCAAATTTTTCTATGTGTGTATTTTGACCATTTGCTGACAATTAAATCTTCAACGTTTTATGGGTTTTTTTCGTGTGTGCTGTGGGAAAGGTTTTTATTGTATCTTAAGCGATCTACACGATACACATATTTGATTGCGATTTTAATAAAGTAAATCTGCTTCGATCAGAACAGAACGTTAAAATCGGAAATAATTATTTAGTATTGATCGACAACTCATAATTGAATTTAATTAAAGTGCTCAATAATTATGTTAATCTAAACACTCAGTGCTAGCTAAAACGACTGAACATCAAGTACACTGTATGATTGAAGAAAACCACTTGGGGCGAATCCACTCAGAGCGAACAAGGAAACGGCGCGAAACCACTCAGTGCGAACAGTTTACAGGGGGCGAAACCACCCGAATTCATGTAACACGACAATAATTTCCGAGCAAGCTGTTCTTTACTGAGCTGCCGAGAAGTCAACACTTTTGAAGGATCTTCTCGTAATTAAATATCAAACATTAAATAAACATGCCTGAAATACAATGTTCTATACATCTGATGTGCTTCATAATAGTTTCCAGCTTCTACACAAGACTGACACTTGGACAAAACACGTTCAATTCCTCCAGTACGGCGATCAGTCGCCATCTTTGTTGTGTACTGTCAGTTTTCAGATTTTTCTAGATAGATCGAATAGGCAAAACTAATCATTCAACGAAAAAAAGATTATTCTTATAATCAAATAATTTTTATGAAATTTTAAAGAAAATATTCGATGGATTACATGTTCGGAAATTATCAAAGAAATGGTAAAAAAAATTTTCGTTTTGCTAAATAATTTCTTAGAAAGAGAAGGCTAACTGCTTGAAAAGGATGAGAATGGGTTTTTTTTTTTTTGAATACATCATATAGCTTACTTGATTTCTGTCATTATCACCTTTGAAAAATAATAATATTTTTTGTATGTATATCTTTTACTGAAGGTTGTGTTTTATACTCATTTATACTCACTGACTTCTGACCCAACTCTTTTTTATATATAAAATTATAAGTAAAAATAAATAGGCATAAATAAATAAATAAAATTATATGCTACACCAACAAAATTCAATAATTACAGGTATATCTATATTTATATATAAATAAAAATGCATATTTATTTCATGGTAATATATATATTTTTGAAATGATTCTGAATGAATGGATTTTATCTTCCCTATGCTGATATTAGACTTACCAAACAACAAAGGTGGCTGAGGTGAATGTAACGTAAGTAGATTTGCTAATCTGGCATCTAATTGACATCATCACTGTATTTTTTCAGCTTAATTGTACGTAAAAATACATACTGAAACTATATCACTAGTTTGATATTAATCGTAAGATAAATCAGGTCGGTACAGTCATTTAATTTAGCTAGCTATGAAGCATAATGAAGCTTTAACTAGCTATTCAAAATAGCTTGATTTAACTATTTATTAAAACGCATTTTTTCTCTCACGAATATGCTTTTTATGAAACAGGCGAAAAGTTGCAAGTATGTGACAACTCGATATTTTACTGGATTTAAACAATACTGTTTTTGAACACTTTTAAGCAAAAGATGTAATTCCATTGTTTGAGTATAACTAATCTATACGTCAGTAACTCCACCTTGTATTTGGTGAGGCATGAATAAGTGTGAATAATTTAATTCTGATTTTAACATGCCACTTGATTGGATAAGAAATTTACTTTATATCGTATAAATTGGGTTGCCTATGTCACAATGACTTGCGTCAAAAACTTATCGATCCGCCTGATGTTACATTTAAATTTTGTACAATTTGAAAAGTCATTTTTAAGGGCAATCATCTTTTTTCTTACACTAAATGAATGAAAATTAAATTATAAGGAATGAAATTAAGGACATTGGCAAGTCAAGGTTTTCCGGAGAAAGAAGGTTTAATACATGGGTTTTTTCACTTATAAAATAGTGATTGAGAGTGATCTCCCGTGTAGAATTCTCTAAGCGGTGGAAACCAATAAAGCGTATGTTACAGCGGTAAACAAAAGCACGTGTACTTCCTTCAACGGGTAGAATCATCTATTCTATACAGCAAAAAAGAAAAGTAGAAATGGCTTTGTTGTACATTTTATTCAGGGACAAAGAGCCAATAGGTCGTCATTTACGATAGTTGTGCTCAGTATGCTGGGAAGGGCAAAGATGTGACATATGCTGAAAGGTAGGCCGACTGAGAACAGTTCTTAGCTAGGTCGTGTGAAGGAAGCAGCATTTAGTAACTACGAATAAAAAATAAAAATAAAACAATGCCAATATTTTTGTTACAATGTGTTTCAATCAATTAAGTCAACTACATGATTAAAACAATCAACCAGTCTCTTGATCAATTTTAGCTGTTAAGGGAAGCAACTCAGAAATAATGATCGGTGCCGGTATATCCATGTTTTGTTCCGATATATAATTTTTTAGCCAAAATTTCTAGAAGTCATAGGAAATGAAGATACAATAATGTATATAATACAAAAACTGTATGAAATAAGTGGGTTTTGGAAAAATATTGTGGTGAAAAATTATGTAGGTCCTTTTTATCAACATTTTACATAGGAAATGCATTGAGAAGTGTAAAAACATTGATTTCACAAAATCTAAAAAAGAAGGTTGGATTGGTAGGTTAAACGGTCCAGAATATAGCCTGTTTAGTACATTTAAACCTACTCAAGAGTTCTTGAAAAATTCTATACGATAACTAGGAACCTTGCCAATGTCCTTAACAGCTACCCAATTTATACGGTATAAAGTGGGTTGGAACAGTTTACCCTTTTTTATAAACCGCTTCGTGGTTTATAAAGCTTAAACTGCCCCAACCCACTTTATACCATATAAATTGGGTAGCTATTAAATTCATTCCTTAATTACTGCACATTAGTGGAGTGATAAGTTGTTAACAAGAATTGCACAGCATCCTTTTTAGTTCACTAAAGAATAACTGTTATGTCACAAGAAGGTCACAATTCAACTAATTTTTATTGCCCCAAAACTTTTAGAACTTTGCTTGCAAATGCCATATATGGCAAGAAATTGGTACTGCATTTTTATGTGATACTTTTGTAACCAGGGTACATTCCCTATTTATCTTTTTATCCAGAGCATAAATCTTCTTCTGTTCAGAATATGGTATTATTGATCAGCAACATCAATGAATAGTTGACACAAGAATTTATTCATTTTATTAATAATTTTTTTCAGTTAAATGATTACTTTCAAAATGCAGACATAAAAAAAACTAAAAGCAATATAATGTTATCTTCCAATATGACTTTCTACTCTCTCAGGCCAACAGGAGCACAATTCTAAACCCTTTGAATATTTTTATAATTATTCATCTTTTATTCATGAACAAAAAACAATTACATAAATGAGATAGTTGAAATTTTCCTCATTTAATCTTATTTTTGAAAATTATTTTTTTAATAAAAAAAACTGTCTGATGGAAAAAATTCTGTGCAACCAATTTTTAAAGTTTTGTTAATTTGACATAAAATAGCAGTCTGGTATATCATTCTATATTATCATTTAATATCATGACTATTGTATATAGTAAATGACCAAATGTGCATTTTACACCTGTATACATAATTATCAATAAATTATTGAAACATTTTTGGTTTGTTATTCTTATAGTTTAAAGTGATGGAAGACAGTATATCAACCCCAAAGGATCGCAGTAGAGTGAATTCTCCTGCAATTATGAGTAATCCAGGAACTCCCCGATCAGAAGATGTAAGAGCTACACCCTCCCCAAATCAAATGAGAAGGGGACACAATCCTGCACAAGCCATGCAACTCAGTCAGCAGCAACTGATGCAGCTACAGCAGCAACATCTTCAGCAACTCCAGAACCAGCAACTAGCACAGCAACAGCAATCTCAAAGTAAATACACCCAGCTGCTTGCTGTTATTGAGGACATGGGGAGAGATATTCGACCAACCTATGCTGGGAGTAAAACCTCAGTAGAGAGACTGAAGCGTGGGATTGTTCATGCACGCATTCTTGTTCGAGAGTGTTTGATGGAATGTGAAAGAAGTGCCAGGACCTGACAAATTGTGTTAACGCTAAAGGAACATTTTTGGCATCTCTACGTATTTATGTTTTGTTTACTGGAGTAAGGATTGAAATGGTGGATTTTGTCAAGTCATTCTTGAAATCATTTTTAAACTTCTCATTTTTAAGAGAAAATCATCATTTTGAAATTTACTGTTATAATTTGACATCTACTTTCTAATATACAATTTTTTTAGAACACAAGAAAATTATGTTTATTTTCTGACATCATGCTGGGTCATGATGATTTTCTTAAATCTTCATATATCTTCATTCATTTTGAATTGTTATTATAGCTTCTAGTCTATTTATCAGGTTGCATCATATATTGTAACATTTGTACATTTGATGCTGGATCCTTATCAAGTCAATTGTCAATCATGGAAAATATTTTAATTAGCACACTATATTAATTTTTGCAATGTTGAAGAAATAAATACCTGTGAATTGAAAAATAATTTTGAATAAAACTTTTGTCAAGTGTGTGAATTTTATGTTATAATTTTATGCTTGTTCAACCCCAGTTTTCTACTGGAGAATTCCATTAATTAACATTTTATCTGTTATTGTTCACATCATTATTTATCCCACATTCACAAACCGTGGTTCAATTTAGAAAAGGGAATTAATGTCAATTCTTAAGACAGGTGATCAAAATACATTTATTTCATACATTAGAACTTTTTTATAAGTACTTGAGAAAAATAGTTCATTGGTTAAACTGATGCTTCTGTGAAATCTGAATTGAAAAGTACATGTAATCTTGGTATATTTTGTCTGTTCTTTATTTAAATTTAATCTTGGTCACCACTTTTGAATTGTCTCAGGTAACTTGTAAAGGTCCTCTTTATATCAGGTTAGGGATAAATACCACTCTAGATATTTGATGATGTTTGGAATATGTTTTCTACAAGAATATCTGAATTAGTGCCAGATATCAAAATGCAGGTAACTTTTAAATATTAATGAGAGTGTTCCACTGCCTGTCTGTCTATCAGCACTTAATGTGACATGATGATGAATATTTTCCAACAGTCAACCGATATACCTGCTCATGTACTTTATATTTACTACAGTAAAACATGCTTATACATGTAACGAAGTGCCAGGGACGGATGATTATGCTTTGTTATAAATGTAATTCGGGATATCCGTTAAGTTCACAGTATAGTTTCAAGCCACAAGGAAAGAAAAGCGTCAATTCGTTATAAGCATGTTTGCTATAAGCGTGTTTTACTGTATGTATATATATACATGTACCTGAGATTCAATGGGTCAAGGTCACAACTTGATTCAAGTAAGCATAAAACTAAGCCTTATAAAGCATTCTTATGGAATGTGAAGCATGGAATATTAACTGTCATTGATTAATCTCATCACGTACCATTAGTAAATACAATGTAGCTGGTACCTAAAAAGTTAAAATAAATGTGAATATATCTGCTATTAGTATTAAAAAGATGTATTTAGAATGTAAGGAGAGAAATGGCAAAGATCTGCATTAGATACATTTACTGTCAAGATGACAACCATAGATGTCACGACCAAGTCCTCTTCAGTGTCAAAGCAAATTAAGTTAACAATCATATCTGTGGTCTTACTGAATAAACTTGTAATAAATTAACAGTTTAGAGAATAAGTTATGGGGAGAAAGTCAGCATCACAGTTAAATACATGTTTGGTATTGATCTTGAGATGATGTTTGTTTAAATTTGAATACAAGATGGTGTAATTTTCAGTTTTAATTTTGGGTCTTGTATACAGGGAAGAATGTCCAAGATTTGTCAGGTTTTAGACACTGGATTCTACGCTGACTCTGTGGAATGGTGTCCATGTGACGGTAATCATGACATCCTGCTCTGTGGAACCTATCAGCTGGACGAGAGTCAAGAAATGGTAATCGTAATAGTTGATGTGTTGCAAATATAACAGATATTGTTTTCCTCCATTCTTCTCTGATTCTACCTTACTTTAAAATTTGTCTTTGAATTATAGTCGTATGTCATTAATAATAATGTACCTGGTACTTTGTAGCCTTAAACTGTACAATTGTGTATTCATTTCAGAAACAAAGCAATTCTGATGAAGCAAAGAAAATGAACAATCAAACTAGACATGGAAATGTGCAGGTCTACAAACTAAACACAACTGATGAATCCAATTCATTAACAAAGACTTCTGCTATTGGTTTGTAGATGACTTCTATTTTATGGGGTGGGTGGATGGGGGGTCATGTGATGGTATAGTATTTCTCATTTGTTGATCAGTTTCAGATATAGCAATTTTGTCATTCTCAAAATTACCCAGGAAAGTACATGCACAAATCAAATTTCTCTGATATTGATTATAACTGCTTAATCTTTTACTTTTTTGGTAACTTAATGATTGGATGATCATTCAACTACAGTCAACCTCGTTATCTCGAACCCGGTGGGACTGAGAAAGAACTTCAAGATATCCGAGGGTTTGAGATATCGAGGGTAAATACTATGTGGTTAGGACTTCCCAATCACTTCGACATATCCATGGTATTAGAGATATCCGTGTTTTAGATACTGAAGTTCAACTGTATTACAGGCTAGTATATATATTCGCCTGTAAGTCAGATTTTGGAGAGTTAAGTTTTGGTCCAAAACTCTAATGTCCGATTTATATTTGAGTCCTAGAAAATTTGGTATCTTTCTGGAAGAGGAAATATATTATAAAGATTGACAAACAAGGCAAGCAAAATACCTATTGTGGAAGAAATATGAAAGTTAAAAATTAAATCTCAATTATGAAAAATATATCTTAAAAATTTAGATTTATGTCCCAACATTGGTATCTTTCTGAGAAATATTTGACATCTATTTAGTCAAGGGTCATATCACAAACATGATTTAAATGCCAGTGTTTGTTATGAACAGTGTATATAGCATAGTGATTAGCTTGTTAGTCTTGAAGAAAAAATTGATACCCAGGATTTTTATTTCTTGGGTTGGAATCCCTAGCATATCACATTTCTTTTAAGTTATAGAATTATTTTTGCTGAAAGAATTTTCTGCAGAAAAGTTTTGTTATAAGCATATAAAATAAAGTCAAAACTTAGTCTAATGCAGGAAAAGAAGAACTAAGGTTACCATTATGCATAATAAACAAGACAAGTGCTTCCAGATTTCAGTGGTCTTATTTTTGTTTAAATTGTAAATAAAAGATCAAATATCAATGTCATATCCCAAAACATTCTCTGAAACACAGGTAAATACAATAAATATTAATTTCATAATGGCAACATATTCTGGCAGAAAACTGTACCCACTTATATGCGGTCAATAGTAGATTCATCAAAAATAATCTGAAAAATACAACCAACTTATAAGCAAACTGACTTATAAATGAGCATATATGGCATATAAATAATAAAAAAGAGATAGAAATCGTTCAGCGTCTTGAGAATGAATCAAAAACTTTTCTCTTTTTTCTCAAAATATTGATGAATATTTCAGAAATGCCAGGTGTTCTTGACATTAAATGGAGCCCAGATCTGGATGGAGAAAACCCTGTCTTTGGATTGGTCAATTCTGTTGGTACAGCTGAACTGTATGTGATGAACCACAGAGATGAAATGGGTGGTGGATCCACAGCTACTGAGATAACAAAGCTTGCAGGGGTGACCCTCGGAGAAAATGTATTGGGTTTGTCCCTAGACTGGGCAAACAGAATTACTAAGAGGTAAATGAGAAATATTTACTCATCTTTTTTAAAGACAGAGAACTTGATACTTGTCTATTAGCTGTGTAAAATTCATAGTTCTTTAAATAGTCTGAGCTTACTTCAAGAAAATGTTTTTTAATAATTAACTCTCTGAATCATTTTGAATCCAATGGCCAGATTTTTAAATGACTTGATCAAATATTAATGCATCAAGTTAATGTTCTCAAAAAAAAAAAAAATAGCATGTAACATACAGCATGTTTATTGAAATCTTATAATGCATAGAACATTTTAACAATTTAAACCATTAATCAATGAGTATTTTGAATTTTTTTCATTGTTATACATATGGAAAGACCATTTCATAGGTTGAATTACTTCATGCAGAAATGATCTTTATAATTTTGACCTAGTGACCCTCCACAACTGACTACCTCCTCATCAGATGGTCATATTCATGTTCACCAGCTGATTTCAGGGGACCTCACTCTTCTTTCCTCATGGAAAGCCCATGACTATGAAGCTTGGATTACAGCCTTTAATTACTGGGACACCAATGTTTTATTTTCAGGTGTTTATAAATACAAAGCTTTATGATATGGCAAAACATTTGTACATTGTAAATTAAGTAAATCTAAGCATTTGCGAAATGTTAAGACGCTTTCATATTTGTGCATTCTGTACTTTGCAAGTAACTTTTTATCACTAGTATTTTTATCGTTGTAATGTTTTACTGTAAGGGGGAGATGATTGCCGACTGAAAGGCTGGGATCTGAGACAGAAATCTACCACACCCATCTTCTCCAGTAAAAGGTAGTAAATAAAGTTAAAACATGCATTAATTTTACAATATTTACTGTGTATTTAAAATGGAGAATATTACCCCCATTCTGTTCTAGCACAATATTGTACATTAAAATTAGTAAGCCAAAAAGTAATTGTATTGTCTGTATGTCCTGAACACTTTTATAATGTGAAGTGATAATATTTTTCAGAATTTCATGTTATGAGATGAATGTTCATGTCTTACCGGTAATTACAAATACTGTTTGTCTTGTATGTAGACATGAGATGGGTGTGTGCAGTATTCAGTCTAATCCAGTCAGAGATCATCTTCTCTGCACAGGCAGGTGAGGGAAACTTAGTTAAAATGTGAGTGAAAAATAGATTTTAAAAATAACTAATGTATGTAAAGCAATGTGTGTTTTCTACAAACTCCCTAAGATATATGTTTCATACTGTGAAGAATAAGGAATATTGGGTCTTTTTTCAAAACAAATTATGTACTGACTTCATTTATATATTTTCTTTTTTCATTTTCTGTCATGACTATGACCGGGACATATAGTGTTTGTCATGTCTGTCTTCCATCCTTCCTTCTCTCTGTCTGTCACAGTTTGCATTTAGCTCAGTTTCAAAGAGACTATTCAAGATATTTTTATCAAACATCATATATTTCTTTGCATATTGGTGAGAGATTTTCAACTGCATCAAATATTTTTTAGACCTTGACCTTCCCTTTGATCTTGACCTCACTTTTCTTTAAAATTTATGTTTAGATAAGTTTCAAAAAAAATATTGACAGACCAGAGAGCTGTAGTGTCACCCATAGATAAAATTATATGTATATTTTTCTTAACACAAAAAGTTGCACTTGGTTCTGGATTTATTTCTCCAAATTCTAACCTCTACTACACAAAAGCTCGATTTCAAAATAAACAAGCATTCTAAGAGTATTGCATTAGCAATACTAGTCCCCTACCAGCAAGTGTAATCTGGTTCCCATTAAGAATTGAAAATGCCATAATTCCGTCAAAAATCAATGAATCTGAACGAAATGCAAATTAACTTGATCTGTAACTCATCAAGGTTAAGTCACATACCAAAAATCAGCTCAATATCTGCAAGCATTTAGAACAAAATTGTGGAAAATCCTGAAAAATTGAAAAGGTCGTAATTCCATCAAAAATCAATGAAGTTGAACGAAATGCAAACTTGATCTGTAACTCATCAAGATACACTCACATACCAAAAATCAGCTCAATATCTGCAAGCGTTTAGAAAAAAAGTGCGGAAAACCAAGTGGGACAGACAGACGGACAGACAGCTAGACAGACGGACGGACAGACTCAAAGGAAACCTATAGTCCCCTCCGGTTTCACTGGTAGGGGACTAATTACATAGATCTCTATCAATTACACTTGTAGCTGAAATCTGCAAGAAGTGAATTGGACTAAATTGTGTTAAATACCATCCAAAATGGCAGTATAAATGGGAAAAAATTTTATGATCTCAACTTTAGACCCAGGAGGGTTATAAACAGTGGTTATGGGGAATGTTTTATTGTGGAAAAAGTAAAAAAAAAATATTATTGGAATACACGATTTGAGGTGCAGTTTAAATGTGCAGAAAAATATATCTAGAAACAGTGCACATTTTTGTGTAAAATAAATATACACTTTTTTCAGTGGGTGGCACTGTAGCTCTTTGGTCGTCCATCCCAATTTTTTCAGACCGATGAGCTAGGATCTGCAGCTAATTTTTATCAAACTTCCTAGTATGCTGATACTTAATAGTGAGAGCAAGTCAACTACATCAAAAATGTTTGACCTAGAACCTCCCTTTGACTTTGGCCTCACTTTTGTTAAATTTGACCTTAGCTCATTTTCAAAGAAATTATTAAAGATTTTTTTTTATATAACTTCATTTGCTAATACATATTGATGAGAGCTATTCAACTGTGTAAATTATTTAGACCTTGACCTTCTCTATGACCATGGCTTTACTTTCTGAAATTTGTGTTAGCTTATTTTCAAAGAAACTATTCAAAATATTTTTTTATACACACATTTACTGAAACATACTGGTGAGAACTATTCAACTACCTCAAAAAATTGACCTTGACCTTACTATTTTATTTTGCATTTAGCTCACTTTCAAATAAACTACATGTATTTATTCAGATATTTTTTTTTATCTTAAGACACAGTGATACATATTGGCAAGACCTATTCAACTGTATTTTTTTTTTCACTTTGACCTGTACTATGACCTTGACCATATTGTCTTATTTTGCATTTGGCTCAGTTTCAAAAAATGTATTCAAGGTATTTTTATATAAACACATATTCTGATACATAATGGTGAGAACTGTTCAACTTTGTTCAGAATATATGCCCTTAAGCTTATTTTTCTTTATTTTGCATTTAGCTCACTTTCAAAGAAACTATTAAAGATATTTTTATCTAAACACATGCAGTGATATATATTGGTAAGAAATTATCAACTGTGTCCATTTTTTTTTACTTTGACCTTCCCAATGTCCTTTGACTTTACTATTTTTTGTGTTTAAAAATCAGTTTTAAAGAAACTGTTCAATATATTTTCATCAATGTTCACACCCCAGTACAAATTGGTGAGAGCTATTCAACTGAATCATAATTTTCTGACCTTAACCTTCCCTGTGATCTTGACCTCACTATTTCTCATTTACCTTTGTCTTAAAGAAGCAAGGTACATTTCTTTTCATGTTGTTTTACCAATGAGCCTTGGGTGGGGCATTCATGCCCTATGGACATATTTCTGGTTTCTAATGAAAGTAAAATTAATACTAGATGTTTATATACTAGTAGCTTTGATACATGCACTTGTGTCTCAGTATTCCCACGTCTGAGATAAATGCTCCCCTGTTAAAGTAGATATTTTTATTAATATAGCTATGATGAACACCTCTTAGTGTGGGATAACAGGCAGATGAAGCAGCCCCTGGGTGACACCCAGTTAGGAGGGGGGATATGGAGGGTGAAGTGGCACCCAGAGCATGGTCACTTGATCCTCACAGCCACTATGTATAATGGCTATCATATAGTGGATGCTCATTGTGTATCAGGTAACCACATAGCATGTAAATTATAAGCTTAATAGAAATGAAATTTATCGAAAATTCACAGTAGTTTTACTAGAACAAGTACTTGTGACCCATGTAGATGCATTGTTGAAATGAAATGGCACATACAAATTACATAGTCTAGCATACATGTATGAATGCAAAGAACAGGTTATCACAATAACAATACACTGTATTTCTGCCTTCTCTTAACAGATGGGAAAATGTCTGTGTTACATCGCTATGAGAAAGATGTCTCTCTCGGATACGGTGCAGACTGGTGTCATATTGTCTCACTCAAAAATCTTATAGCAACTTGTTCATTTTATAACCATTCTCTTCAGTTATGGCAGTTTGAAGTGCAAAACCAAGATGTTGGATAAAAAATTATTAAAATAAATAATTAATGTAAGAAAAGAGTTCTTTTATTTTTGTCTCTTATTAGGAGGCGCATTAGATATTGTGAGCTTATTTTTCAGTTATTATCAGGGACTTGTGTAATAAGAAAGGAGGAAAATGCAGCAGTCCAGATGAGGATTCAAACCTGAGGCTTTGAATCACTAGCCAGGTGCTCTACCAACTGAGCTATCTGGCCACCAGTGATCAAACATGCCAGACCACCACTCATGTATGAGTGATTGCCCTTTTGCATCAGCACTGAAACTTTCATTATTAGCTCACCTGAGCTGAAAGCTCAAGTGAGCTTTTCTGATCACATTTTGTCTGTAGTCTGCCAGTCTGTCCATTTGTTTGTCCATCTGTCTGTCTGTAAACTTTTCACATTTTCGATTTCTTCTCCAGAACCATTGGGCCAATTTTAACCAAACTTGCCACAAAGCATCCTTTGTTGAAGGGGATTTAAATTTGTTCAAATGAAGGGCCATGCCCTCATTAAAGGGGAGATAATTCAGAAATGGTGAAAATTTTGTGGCATGTTCTCAAGAACCACAGGGCCAAAAATGTTTAAACTTACAGGAAACCTTCTTTGCATAGTGTAAATTCAATTTTGTTCAAATAATGACACCTGGGGGTAGGTTAGGGTTACAATGGGGGATCAAAGTTTTACATAGGAGTATATAGGAAAAAATCCTTAAAAATCTTCTTCTCAAGAACAGCAAAGCCATGTTTAGCCATAGTGATATGGAAGCATTCTCAGGTAGAGTAGATTCATATTTGTTCAAATGATGACTCCTGGGGTAGGGTGGGGCCTTAATGGTTGATCAAAAGTTTTACATAGGAATATGTAGGAAAAAAATCCTTAAAATCTTCTTCTAAAGAACAGCAAAGCCATGTTTAGTCATATTGAAATGGAATCATTCTCAGGTAGTTTAGATTCAGTTTTCTTCAAATCATGGCCCCTAGGGGTAGGGTGGGGCCACAATGGGGGATAAATTTTTTTACAGGAATATGTAGGGAAAAAATTGAAAAATCTTCTCTAGAACAGCAAAGCCATGTTAAGTCATATTGATTTGGAAGAATTCTTAAGTAGTGTAGATTCAAGTTTGATCAAATGGTTACACCCAGGGGTAGGGTGGGGCCACAATGGGATATATGGGGGGGGGGGGGGGGCATGCAAATCAATCATATTGGATAACATATTTACATTCCACATGTATTTTGCTTATAAAGTGTAAGGAAAGCTATGGCATTCAACACACCATAACAAAGACAGGGAGACAAAAGTTAAAGTATGCGTTTTATGCACAAACGTTGAGCGCCTTGGAAATGCAACGTCATAAGCGAAAATCAAAATTCACACTTACATTGAACAGAAGGCTGTTGCAAGGCTCTTCCATTAACTGTAACTTACCCGAAGGATACAGGGATTTTAAAATATAAATCACATTTGCAATCAAGACAAGTAGTTAAAAAATGTAAATATAAGCATTGAATCATTATTTTTTGAAAGATGTAGTCTCATAACTGCAACGGTGTGTGCAAACAAATTTTTCATAACGCGCTAAAGCGCATTACTCAATTTGTTTGCACACACCATTGCAGTTATGAGACTAAATCTTTCAAAAAATAATGATTCAGTGCTTAAATATAGCATTTCAAATAAAAGAAATCTAAAAATTGCATTTCAAAAATGATATTACTGGATATAATATTTTTTTAGGGATTAAGCAAAATTGTATGTTGTGTCATAAGAATAAATGCATTTTGCATAATTTTATGATTTTATTGCTTGTTAAATTTTGAATACCAGAAAAATGGCATTTTTTTGAGTGCAGAAAGGTCAAATAATTTGAATGTGAAGAAATTTGAAACTTTTGTTGTCACAAAGTTTAATGTGACTATTCAAGATGAAAAAAAGACTGTGTTTGTTCTAGGGATGTCAAATCGGTCAATTTTTGATAATCGGTTACTCGGACGTTTTTCTGATGGAGTACCCGGGTACTTGGTAAAAATATAAATACAAGTGTGTTAATTTTCTTGAGCCCCGTTAAGCTATATTAAACTCCAAAGCTGTTTTTATCATGTTTATAAATGTATATAAACATTGAGTCCAACGGGGATGATTTTTTGGTACTACATTTATTTATCAAATAAACACAAAAGACACAATTAATACATCAAAAATTAGAAAAAAAAATTGTTACAGTTCTTCTTTAGGATCTATTTCATCAACGCAAAAGGAGGACAATCTGTTATGCAGGTTTGTGGTGATTAGACTAGTGAAAGAGAAGGAATGGACGTTGTTGGGATCGCAAATCTAATATTATTTCATATGTTGGTTGTTTCCCCCGTATACACTAAACTTATTACGCAAACTGACTTTCAATATTTTTTGAATCTTTAATTATTTCTAAATATTTCTCAACTTTTGAAGTGGGTACCAGCATGTCCGATTTCGGTGCCGTATATTAACTTAATAATTTTAAAATGATTTGAAGATAATGGAACATATTTAAATGATGTTCACTGAAAACAATCATTGAAGCCATCCAAAAATTAAGGACCACAATAGGTGAGAACAGCTGTGTACCAGGTGATTGGTCACTAATTACTGTATACACACTGCCACAGGCGATAAGGGGTGTTTTACAGGTGTAAATGATGACACGCTAATTACCGTATGCATATTAAAGTTATTTTTTGGATAAGTTTTTGATAAAAATATGTACTTTGAAATAAGAAAAAATACACATCCGAGTAACTGAGTACCATTTTTAGTATTCGATACTCGGACGTTCGATCGAGTACCCAGTTAACTGGGTACTCGTTGACATCCCTAGTTTGTTCCCAATTTATTTGGATAAAAAATATTAAAAACTTTGAAAAATTGATTTATATGTTAGACGTAATTACAGTGCAAAAAGGTCATATTAAATGCTCCATAGCGCCAAAATAAGCACAATGACCCCCATTTGGTGTTTTGATTTTTAATTAAGCTATATGTATAGAATCTAAAAATATACTTGATAAAAAATTCTCAATACTTTTGAGAACAGGATCCAACCTCCTTAAGTCAATAATTAGCTAACCTGAGTTAACAGTAATATATAGAAAAAAAAATCTTGAAAAATCTTCTCAGGAACAACAAAGCCATGATAAGTCATATTGATATGGAAGCATCTTCAGGTAGTGTAGATTCAAGTTTTTTTTTTTCAAATCATGACCCTTGGGGGTAGGGCTGGGCCACAATGGGGGATCAAAGTTTTACATAGAAATATGTAGAAAAAAAAACTTGAAAAATCATCTTCTTCACAAGAACAGCAAAGCCATGATCAGTCATATTTATAGGGAAGCATCCCCTGATAGTGTAGATTCAGGTTTGTTCAAACTATAAACCCCAGGGATAGGATGGGGCCACAATGGGGGATCAAGTATTACATAGGAATATATAGGAAAAAATCTCAAGAACACAAAGCCATGATTGGTCTGATTGATATGGAAGCATCCTCAGGTAGTGAAGATTCAAGTTTGTTTGAATCATGACCCCTGGGGAGAGGGTGGGGCCACAATGGGGGATCAAAATTTTACATAAGAATATGTAGGAAAAAAAACTTGAAAAATGTTCTTCTTAGTGATGTTGATTTGTAAGCCACCTCAGGTAATGTAGATTTAAATTTGTTCAAATCATGACTCCTAGGGGTAGGATGGAGCCACCTCTTTATAAATCTTTCCAAGAACAGCAAAGCCATGATTAGTCATATGAATCTGGAAGCATCCTCAGATAGTTTAGATTTAAGTTTGTTCAAATCATGACACTTGGGGGTAGGATAGGGCTACATCAGGGGATTTTTACGTAAGAAAATGTAGGAAGAAAATCTGCTAATGAAAAATGACGGGCCATATTGACTCAGGTGAGCTTTGTGGCCCATGGGCCTCTTGTTGCATAATATGACCAGGGAGTGAAAAATTCATGATTTGGGGGCTTGGATGGATTCTCAATAGGAGTTTAAAGTTTGACAAAGGAATAACATTTGGGATGGTATTAGGCCAGAAAATGCATAATATTCTGCAAAGGCAATGGGTCTGGAAGGCATCTAGCTTGTTTGAAATGGCTTTTGTTACTTTCCATGATTCAGCACCAAACAGTAGGACCCCATAAATACATTACTCTTGAAAATCTTAATTTTGGTATTTACATGCTGATCTTTTCTGACCTCCAGATGTTTCACAGTGCAATATACACTCCTGTGGCTTTAGAAAGCTGAGCTAGTACATCTACCTCAGAATTCCCATCCGTGGTGATTTTGCTTCCTAGATAGACAAAGTCTGTGACCTCTTCTATTTTTACATTATTTAGGGTGATGGGTTCATCTAATTTAGTGTTGACCTTCATGATCTTAGTCTTGTTGTTGTTAATTTTCAGGCCAATCTTTCCTGCTGTTTTTGGTAGTTTTTTTTTGCATATGATGATATCTGGGAGCTAGCAGTACCATATCATCTGCAAAATCTAGGTCTTCAAGCATTTCTGGCATAGCCCAACTGATTCCTGGCTGCTTATCTTGGTGGTTTGTTGCATGATCCAGTCAATGCAGAATGTGAAGAGAAGAGGGGAGAGCAGACATCCTTGTTTTACTCCAGTCTTCAATTTAAACTCCTCTGATAGGTTTGATCCACAGATAACTCTGGCATAATGACTGAGAATTTTTTCTAAGGCTAGGCAATTAACACTGTCAAAAGCTTTTGTAAATGAAGAGCTGTACAAAAGGACTAACACCACTCCTCTATCAAAAGTTATAAAGAAAAGAAAATAGCTGTGTATAGGACACATATGTAGAATGCACCCAACCTCCATCCCAAGGGTTGCATTGAGATGGACACCAACCGGTAAAAGAGAGGAAGACCAAAAGAGACCTGTAGAAGATTGACCGAGAAAGAAATAAAAGAGACAACTGGTCAAAGCAGGTCCAGAGATGGACACAAGATAGCCCAACATGGAAGTCTCTGGTGATGGCCATATGTGGTGACAAGCATGAAGAGGACTAAGTAAGTAAGTAAAGGAATAACATAATATATAGTAAAAAAATATTTACAGATCTAAATGAAAAACTGCAGGGTCTCAGTCATGTTGACATGCCAGCATCCCCACATTGTGTAAATTTATAAAATTTTGGTCAAGTCTTTGTCGTTAAGACTTTTAAATTAGTAAGTCCTGGTTGGGGTCACAGTTACAACTGATGTGACATTTTTACACAGGGAATGCATAGATACTCCTGAGATAAGGGTGTGGCCACATAAGGGGATCAAAGTTTTAATTACAGGAATATAGATAGGAAATATCTACGTAGAGGTCAACTATACATCTACACTGGGTTAGTAAAGTAGCGAATAATGCTATTGGTACTCCCCATCTAATTTATTAAGTGACCATAGCTGCAGATCTGTAACTTGTCATTTACTAAATTAGGTGGGGAGTGCCTAAAACGTTATTCGCTACTTTACTAACCCTGTTATATGTATAGTAGCAAGTAACATATTATATGCACTCCCTTCTAATTTAGTGAGTGACTAGCTGCAGATCTGTAGCTCACTGGTCTGAAAATACTGGGATGCACAAGCACAGCAGGGTCAATGTTACTCAAGTGAGCAGGTGGACCTTCCAAGTCTCAAATGGACAAGCACAGCAGGGTCAGTATTACTCAAGTGAGCATTGTGACTCTTGATTAGTAAAGCAGTGAATGACCGCTGGTGTTTATACTTATTTACGATATCAAATCACTGCTAAGTTTGCTCCATGTCTATGGTTTACGGGATTTATCCCCCTTTTGAAATATTGAATTTCCCGCCATAGAAATATTCTTCCGGGTGTGCAGCGCCACCAACAGGAAGTTTTGGTAAAGACTAAAGTGGAAGTAGAAAACGAATGTGCCGTTCGCATGAGTCTGAAGGCAGAATGAATATGTGAAGTTATGTCATACTGCAGACGACTTTGTTTGAAAATGGTGCATTAGTCTTATTTGCAGGGCATTTGTCGCTTAGTTCAGAGCGTAAGTAAAACATCGAGATTTTTTTTTAACTCGACCTCGAACACAGCTGTTTTAACATTTGTGTTTTCTGTTTTACAAAACTTTTGGAATATTTGGTAAGTTTCAAGTCTGCTAAGAATTCATTTAAGGTTGTGGGGAAGTCACTCATTTGCTCCTTTTGTATTAATAGGTCGTAAAACAGTCAGATATACAGAACGACATTGAAGTGGGCAGGGCTATGTAAAATGCAAGTACTAGCCTAATTAGCATGATTAGAATGTGAAAAGAAAACCTCAGCTATCAGTTGTGAAGTGTCAGAAATTCAAATGAGGTAGAATTATTTAGCAGTGCAGAAGTTGAAGTGTTTATAAAGTTACTTATAAAAGACTGGCTACAAATAAGTGACACTGAGAGCTTTACTTTGCAAATGATGGCTATAAATAAGTGACAGAGGGCTTCCCTTGCAAATGACAATCTCACTATTACCATGATTAGGGCCTACAAGTATTACATATTATCAGTGATTTTGGGTAGTATGTCAGATTTTCTTATGCATCTTTGACTCTGCAGTTAGTAGTTTCTATATCTTCCTCTGATCAGGGACTCAATTCACTCAAATATATTTTTATATAATAAGAAAAAAAAATATGGCAAGTCTTGATATTGTATTGCAAAGAAATTGGTCATTAATCATTCAGAAATTAAAGACTGTGGACTACAAAGATTTTTATTCAGAAAACGAAAAGGTTGAATTTTTTTCACCAACTGGACAGAAATACATGGGCCCAAAGTATCAATGTGGTTGGTAAATCTTGTAAAGTTGGGGGCCCACTTGACCCCTGAGTTTTAAATGTTATTTGCAACCCCATAGATTTAAAAACCATCATAGGATTTATTAGAGAAAAAAAAATTTCTTTTTCTTGATTTTTTTTATTTGAAAAAAAAAAAGGTACATCTCAGGTACATTTCATCAGTTTTTTCACTGTGCTCAAGGTTTGCATTACAGGGAGGGTTTTTGATTGTTATTGGAATATCCCTGGAAAAAATTGTATTACACTGTATATCATGAGTTTACAATACATTACACATACTGCTGTAACTGCATAAATTCTACTACACAGGCAGCCTATTGTTCTAAAATTACAAAATTTTAGCAAGATAATTTTTATTTGAATTGAAGTTAAGGTCTCTCTAAATCTCTTTAAATGTAACGTTACATTTCTTTTTCAGTTTTAGGATATTTATGAAAATTGGAAAAGTTTACCGAGTTGTAACCATCAGATCTACATTTAAAAAAATGTTTAGTTTACTGTTTTAAAAATTGTTATGTTTATAACATAACTGCTGTCACAAACAAAATTTTACACCACACATGTTGCACAAATCATGCAACTAGTCCAGGATTACACAATGTCACACAATTCTGAAATGATTCAGTTTTACAGTAACAGGTACAATCGTTTTGGTGTTTGGTAATAAACCAGTAACATGAGAATAAAAGTTCTATAAGCATCTTGTTAAATCAAATAAAAACATTTCTTCCACTTAGTATGTTTCATTCATCCCTATACTCAGCTGAGTATATTTTGGTGAGAATTCAGTTAATGGGGGAAAAAGTGCAAATGTGTGTATTTTTCATTTCTTATCAATCCCTCAGATCAAAACATATCCTCTGCTCTCAAGATAAAAAGAAAACAATCCAGAAATTCCAAAGACACTTTATAGATTCTCTGCTTCCATTATAACATTGTAGAAATTATGAAAACTGCATTCACTGAGTTCTACTCCTGGTCCCAGATTACCTTGTGCTAATTAATAATTAGTGGGTAAAGATTGAGAATTCTTGGGGTACCAGGTGCGTAGGTGTACACATGGAGGGATATTGACTGTGAATCATCTGATGGGATTGTTTGGAGCCCCAGTAAGATAAGAAACTGACAGAAGGTGGATAGACACATCACACATAAGTCATCACAGGAGAACAGTAGTGGGATCAAGATCTCATTTCTGGTAGACTATCAGCTTCCCTGTCGATCTCTTCACACAGTTTTTTTTTTTCTTTCCATTTTTTCTCGTTTATAGCTTTGTTTTGTTTTTGATAATTTTTTTCGAGAGATGACAAAAAAATGAATTTTTTTTCATATATAGACATTCAAATTTCACCAATTTAATTTGAATAAACATCCTATTTAAAATCAATTATTCTGATTATATCTGATCTGCAAACAATAAACAGGAAGTTTCCTGCTCATTTGAGTAGACTAATTACCTGAAATGGAAAACATTCTTGATTCGAGGGTTAAAAGTACATATCCATGAAAAATTGATTAAGCATGGTTTGATAATTTAGATTCACTAATTCAGCATACTTTGTAGCATCATTGTTATTTGAAACCCAGCGTTCTATTGTAATATGAAACCTCTATCATCTTTGTCGACTCTTGTCAGTTTAACTGATGTTAGTAAAAAGAATATTTGTTTAATTTTGATTTTTCTACAATTCTAATCATTTTCCAGTTATTAAATACACTTGTTCAGCTTGTGATGCCCTTAGATAGCACTTTATACTTCAAGTATGTAAGATAAATTGGACACTGCGACACAAGGAAGATATGAAGTTAAATGGGGAGAAATAATTAGGAAGTTTTTTACCACAAGTATAAACTGACAATATCTTTCCTTGTTTGTGATTGTGTTGCTGTATATATGAGATGTACTGATAAAGCATCCATATGTTTTAACCAGTAGTAATACTTATAAATTTTCAGAGAGAGAGTGCAGAGTCCATAGGTTTAAACCTGATAGTACCATAGTACATATCAATGAAGTGTTGAAAGAAGAAGAAAAATTAAGGGATAATTTGGAATGATTTTAGAGTATGCTTACTGAGCAAGAACTGGTCTTTGGTTGACAGGTCAGAAAGCTGCCAACATGCTGAGGCAGATCCTTCAAACAATGACGGTTGATCCTGACCTCCTGGCCGAGTTGTCGGATGAACAGAAGGCTGTACTGTTTGTCAAAATCAGGGAGGTAAGCCATGATAAGCCAGCTTCTAATATGGTACTTAAACTAGCAAAAGTATCCAAATAATTATACTGATAATAATACATTTATACATTATGTATTAGACTTATTGTCAAGGTGAGAAAGTTGACCATATAAACATTTGCTTTGAAGTTTTATGGATTGGGTCATTTTCAGGAGCAGGTCAGGAGATATGATGAACATGAAAAGAATAATCAAATTGAGAAGATTCCTCGAAAACCGAAGAAAGGTACAATAGAACATTATAAAAATCGTAGGATGTTTCAGTTTGACTGTTGTGTGTATATTTGAAAATTTATGAAATTAAATTTAATCAGGGATAGATGTAAACTTTCAGGTCCAGTTGCCCAAAGGGCAAGTGAATGCAAACTTTGACTTGGTTACTTGAAATCTAAAAGAAAAAAAAACTTGATTCATTATTATGTCCTGCCCTAAATATGGGCATATGGTGTTTGTTATGTCCATCTCCTGTTCTTCTGTCTTTCCATTTTTCATCTGTCACATTTTACATTTAGCTCAGTTTCAAAGAAACTTTTCAAGATATGTTAACCAAAATTCATACACTGATACATATTAGAAAGAGCTATTCAACTGTGGCATTATTTTCTGACCTTAACATTTCTGTTATCCTTGATCTCACCATTCCCAATTTTGTGTTTAGTTCATTTTCAATGTAAAAGATATTTTTATAAAAACACATAAATGGATATATATTAGTGACAAATTTTCAACTGTCTCATTGTTTTCTGACCTTGACCTTCCCTATAACCATGACTTACTATTCCCTGTTTTGTGTTTAGCTTTTTTTAGGTCACCTGAGTCACTCAGGTGACCTAATGCTATATATTTTTGTCCATCGTCATGCGTTAACATTTGAATGAACATTTTTAGCTTCTTCTCAGGAACTCCTAAACCAATTTCAACCATTTTTATGCCTAGCCATGAATATGGCCGGGGCATATAGTGTTTGTCATGTCCGTCCTTCTGTCCTTCCATCACACTTTGCGTTTAGTGTTCAAAGCTCAGTTTCAAAGAAACTATCCAAGATATTTTTATCAAACTTCATATGCTGATAGATATTGATGAGGGCTATGCAACTGCATCAACATTTTTTGACCTTGATGTTTCCTTTGACCTTGATCTCACTTTTCTTAAATTAGTGTTTAGCTCTGTTTTAAAAATACCATTCAAGATAGTGTAATCAAACTTCATATGTTGATACATGCTGATGTAAGCTATTCAACTGCATCAACATTTTTTGATCTTGAACTTTCCTTTGACCTTGACCTTTGACCTCACTTTTCTTAAATTAGTATTTAGCTCAGTTTTAAAGATACCATTCAAGATATTGTAATCAAACTTCACATGTTGACACATACTGATGTAAGCTTCTCAACTGCATCAACATTTTTTGACCTTGACCTTTATTTTGACCTTGACCTCACTTTTCTTAAATTAGTGTTTTGCTCAGTTTTAATGAAATCATTCAAGATATTTTTATCAAACTTCATATGGTGCTACATACTGATGAGAGCTATTCAACTGCATCAACATTTTTTGACCTTGACCTTTCTTTTGACCTTTCTTGACCTCACTTTTCTTAAATTAGTGTCAAACTTCATATGCTGAAACATACTGGTGTAAGCTATTCAACTGCATCAATATTTTCGGACCTTGACCTTTCCTTTTACCTTGACCTCACTTTTCTCAATTTGTGTTTAACTCAGTTTTAAAGATACCATTTCATAATATTTTTTTATCAAACTTCATATGGTAATACATACTGATGTAACCTTTTCAACTGCATCAACATTTTTTGACCTTGACCTTTCCTTTGACCTTAACTTCATTTATTTTAAATTAGTGTTTAGCTCAGTTTTTTAATAAACCATTCAAAATATTTTTATCAAACTGAATATGCTGATACGTATTTGTGAGAACTATTCAACTACATCAAAAACGGTTGACCTTGAACTTTCCTGTGACCTTGACCTCACGTTTCTCAAATTTGCATTTTGCTTAATTTTAAAGAAACCATTTAAGATATATTTATGTAAGCTTATGCACTAATACAATATTTGGTAAAAATTTAGCATCTATATGCAACTTTTTAGATTTCAATTTCAATTTTAAAGAAACTATTGAAGATATTCTCATCAAATTTCATACACTAATACAAATTTTCATTTTGCATTACTAATATACCCTTGGCAGGGCATTCATGTCCTATGGACATATTTCTAGTTGATATATACCAGCTATGGGTGGGGGGGGGGGACAAAAATTGCCAATTTTATGGTCCCTTTCTCCTGTTACCTAAGGGTTGGGGCTAAATCTATCAAAATTTATGCAATCTTTAAAAATCTTCTTCTTTACTTTTGGACATCAAGCAGTCAAACTGTTGGCATGATTGTAATAAGCATTAAACCCTATTCAGATTGAGAAATTCATGGCCCTGGGTCAGGGGTACTGGTGCTAGGCCTGGGTTCTATTGATTATGTAGTGAAAGTGCATTTTTTTTTCTTTTAACAACTTCTCTGCTCCTTAGTATTAAGCAAACAAACTTAGTGCATAGTTATGAGGGTTTACAGGGTTTACTGGATTCAAAGCATTTATAAATAAACTATTGTAAGATAAAAAGTATAGAAATTTTTATCAGAAATATTCACTTGTCTGATTGGATAAGTATGTTGACACTTTCACTTGCCCAAACAGAGATTTTACTAGCCTCAGGCAAATGGACAACTGTCAATCCCTTGTTAGTTCAATTTTGATGTAAAATTGTATGAATCTCTTGGTTTCATCATTCCAGGCAAATAAACTGTTAGAGTTTATACATTTACAATAAGGTAATTCACAACAAGTATTTCACTCAAGCACTTGTCTTTGTTCAATTTCATTTAATTGCCAACATGAAGTTAAAATTACTTGTACTGGGATTAAATCAATTGTCCATCAGAGATATGATTGATATAATAAATTTTCATCAATATGTGCTGTGATTTGAATGACAGCTAGACTTCAAATGCAGGAAATTTTATAAGTGATATTTTAATATTTTGAAAAACACTAGATATCTTTGGATTTGAACAAGTATTTTAATAACAAGTGGTTTCAATTTGATGAAAATTCATGCAAAATGGAATCTTTTTGAAAGATTGTGTGTTCTGCTTACATAGATTGCAAAACTTAAAGACTTTTCAGTACTTTAAAGTTTGTTGATGTAGACAAGATAGAAGGTGAAAGTTGATGAGTTTTCATTATATCCTGGGTTATATGTGTGCTAGCTTTTATAAAAGCTGCTACTTGCAGTGGTTACCATTTTAAGTACAATCATTATTTTTGATGAATGGCCAAGTCCCTTGACTCTTGACTTAAACAAAAGAAATCTCTATGATTGGCACCAATGAATGGCAAGATACTTTCCTTGCAGAATCAAAAGTTGTGAGAGTTTTTCACTATTATCATGTCTCCACTGAAGGGGGAGGAAGATCTGCTCCATATTTATTGACCAAATACTCTGTTTTTAGCTCGCCTGAGCTGAAAGCTCAAGTGAGTTTTTCTGGTCACCCGTTGTCCGTCCGTCCATCTGTCTGTAAACTTTTCACATTTTCAACTTCTTCTCAAGAACCACTGGGCCAATTTTAACCAAAGTTGGTACAAAGCATCCTTGGGTGAATGGGAAGCTATATTGTTAAAATGAAGGGCCAAGCCCCCTATACAAGGGGAGATAATCAAGAAAAAGCAAAAACAGGGTGGGGTCATTATAAAATCTTCTTCTCAAGAACCACTGGGCCAGAAAAGCTGAAACTTGTATGGAAGCATCCTTGGTTAGTGTAGATTCTATATTGTCAAAATCATGACCCCCGGGGGTATAGTGGGGCCACAATAGGAAATCCAAGTTTTTCATTGAAATATATAGAAAAAATCTTTAGTTAATTTATAAATTGGTCAATTGCAATATTTCAGTTTAAAAAAATTACTTGAGAGTTTTAATCTGAGCAAAGAAAAGTAAACATACTGCAAAATATCTACCAACTGGTTTTGAAAATTGTATGACTGGTTACAATCTTTGACCAGTTAGTCAGTTACAGTAAAAATCGTTTATAGCAAAGTCTTGGGGACCTGCGAAATAACTTGGCTATATATCTGTAATTGGTTATATCCGTATAAGAATTTGTTAAAGTACATATAACAAACTTATAGCAATATAATTTTTTTTCCTTAAGTATAACTACCAAATGCATTTTGCGAAGAATTAAATACAAAAGTTACCTTGGAGTTCAAAAATTTTTGGATGAATTGAATTTGAAATTTAAAATTATTACAAAAATAGTGTCGTTTCAATATTTCAAAAATTGATATCTTTGAAAATTCCCTATAAAAGAGGTAAATCTCGTTATTTTTAAACTGTAGGGGACACACAATTAGTTTGCTATATCCGTAAATTCGCCATATCCAAGTTCGTTATATCTGTAAAAATTTGCAAGAAATTGTTTAGAATTTTGCCGGGGATTCCAAAAAACTTTGCTATATCCATAAATTTGCTATATCCGTGTTCGTACTAAATGAATTTTACTGTAACTGGTTAATTGTTGCCATCCCTAATATATGTATTTATAAATATATGATTCATGCTTCAATGCATTATGATCTTTTCAATTCAGATCATCTCTTACATTAACATTGATTGATAGAATTTGGTCTATATCCACAAATTAAAAAGAAAGGTGGTTTTTTGCACTGTAGGCAGCAAGAAGGAGACAACTGCATGTTTTATATAGAGACCAAACACCACACATCTAGAACTCTAGAATTCTGTGCAATGAACTGTCACCTGAACTATGTGTGCATCAGAAACAACACAAACACTCTAAAACTGCAGATAGATTATTAACTTGACACTGCTTGTCTAAATTTGTTTTGTCTCCTTGCTTATTTAGCTTTTAAGGGGAATGTCCCTCTAATAAAAGAGATAACTTCCAAAGAAAATATTCCAAAAATATCCAAAAGGTCATTTTATCAGGTTCTAGTTATTATTTTTTTTACATCATAATTATACCTGTTGGTCATTATACTTTGATTTCATGTAAAGACATAGAAAGAAAAGGAAGACTGTTTAAAATTGCAAATGAGAGTATTGTAATTTTATTAACTAAATATTTGAAATATTAATTATTTGTCTTTGGAGTAGGAAAGAAGATGGTGGAATTTCTGCAGGGTAAGGATGGAAAGGAGTGGGTATGGGTCATGGGGGAACACAAGAATGACAAGTCTATTGAGGAGTTGATTGAACTGGAATGGCAGGAGAAGGCCCTCAAAGAAGCAGAGCGAGAGATTGAGGAAATCAGGTAAGATTTACAGGTGTGAAGAATCAGAGAGGGAGGAGAGGGGAGCAGCAGAAGGAATCAGAGAAAGGGGGAGGGGCAGAGAAAGAGAGAAAAAGAGGGAATAACATGTAAATGTATGTATAATTCTGGAAGTACGTATATGAGACAGTCTTGATAGTTCAGGCCCTGACAAATTAGATTCAAAAGTATTCAATGGTAAATTCAACAATTCAAATGTAATGTATAAATTGAAAGAATTTCTCATATTCTGGTATAATTTGGACCAGAATATCAACTTAAATTTGAAATCATGGAAATGTTAAATAATACATGTACATGTATATTGATTGAAATGTTTTTCAGTCACTGAATTTGAATGTTAATGTTTTTTTGATGTATACAGGAGGAGAGAAGAAGCAGAAATAGCTAAAAGATTGGAAGAAGAAAAAGAAAAACTGGAAATGGAACAAAAACATAAAGAAGAAGAACTTAGGTTTACTGTCTAGGAAATATTTATTATTCTTTATAATGTGCCCTGCATTAAAATACAAGTGTCCTATAGTAATCACCATCTCCTGTTAGTTGGTTTGTCCATTTGTTGTGCCATGGAATAACTTGAGTATCTTTCAATCATTAGATTTCTTTTTTATGACATAGGTGGAAGATGGTTAGAAAAAGATTTTGATAAGCTTTGACTTCACTTGGTCAAAGATCAAGGTCAAAAATCAAGATAATTGCATTGATTATTTCACATAACTCAACAATAATTATAAAATACAAACTTTACATGTACTTGTAACATAAAAACATTATTGATCAGGAAAAACTTCTTTCAAAGCTACTATAAATCAAGTTTTTTTTGTCTATAAAACTGAAATATTTTCTCTGAATGCTGTCTTTGTTGAGAACAGATATTTAAGATCAGTTTAATATTCTATGTGGCTCAAGAACTTGAGTTTACTTGTTCACTTTATGAGAAGCTTACAAAGTCTGAGACATCTTGCTCAAAGGTCAAATTCAAAAAATTATGATAATTGACATAAAACACATATGACTGTGTCCATTGTTTTTGTTAAGGGTTGCAAACATACATTGAATTTGTTAACAAGAAAAAAAATGGACATTGAAAGTTTTTGTAGGTAAAGCTAGCTCTGAAATTTGGTATTTGATCAATATTAGGATAAAAACCATCATGTCTGTGTTGATAGTTAGTCTTTGCAAATTATTTATTACATAATGAATCACTTTGATCCCTGAAATGAAGCAAATTGTTTGAAACAAAATAAATATCACATTATATATAGTGTACTACTCCAACAGAAAACAGAGGGAAGAAGCAGAATTATATGCATCATTGAAGCAGGCAAGAGAAGTGGCCAGAAAGTTAGAGGAAGAAAAACAGAAGGCCGAGGAAGAGGAAAAGATTAGAGTGGAACAACTACGGGTAAAGATCATCATTATTATGATATTATCATTATTATACTTCATCTGAAAATCAGTTCCTTATTGAATCGCTGATTCTGTCAAGGACATTAAAATAAAAAATTGCAACAAACTGTCAATATATATATATACATGTACCAATCTTTGCTTATTGCATACAATGTATATTTCTTATTGTCTAGTTTTGTGTGAAGTTAAAACCATTGTTTACTCAGTGCATCATTTCTTACAAACTACAAAAAATTTAGTAAGAAATCACATTTATCCTTTCCATGGGAGTCCATTAAACAAATCTTTCAAAGATGAACATCTTATCTGACAGTGACTTTCACTGTATACATATAACTTTTCTATCTGCTTTTGTATCTTTGAGAATGTATAAGAATGCTTACATTTTATCCCTTGTAATGCAGCAGAAAGCGTGCCGGAGTTGTCAAGATTTAGATGATATGGAGGTATTGTGAATTTGGTGCATGAGGATTGAGATTTTGTAGGATATTATTGACTTTGTCTTGTGTCAGATTAGTCATCTAAAGCTTGCTGTGAGAGTTCTCTCCCTTTAGCTTTGCAATAAATATTCATTAACATTCTTCCCAATAACAAGTCATTTCTATAGAAATATATTTTTTTTACTTAGATGACTAAGACTGTTTTCATGTATCCCCATGCATGCACTGTACTCTGATTTTTTAAAAATTTAAATCAATACCTTTTATGGTGTATTTGTGAAATAATGTACATGTTACATGTAGTTTTATTAGTAGACAATGTGAATTAATGTGTGTAGTTTTTGTCTACTAAGTGTATACAAGTTAATTCCAGTAACTGTTGTGGTTTTGCCAAATAATGTACTTAAATAAACTGGTGGATTTAGAGCCCCCCATCCCCCCTTTGTGACCAAAAATATACATATTAATATTAAGAAATCAATTTTTTGTTGTGAGATATTGTATTTGTTATATGTCCCCTTGACCCTTAACCTGTTGCCCCCCTCCCCTTTTCAAGAATCCTGGATTTGCCACTGAATATTAATTTCCCAGGAAAATAAAAATGCTTCAGCTTACTATGAAGTCATAGATGTAAATGGCATTTATTTTATGGATATTTTAAATTTAATTTTAGTTGCAGATTTTATTTTTAAATAATAACAATCATGTGTGGTTTGTTTTTATTACCCTTTCTTATTTTTGCCTTCACTTTGATTTACAATGGCTGATACATGTAGATTTAAAATGGTTTTGTGGCTTGGAAATGTTTGTCCTGCATCATAATAGCTTACATGTATAAACTATTTTACATTTTAAGTTAGTATCTGTGAAACTTTTATGCAGAATACTTATTCAAAAAGTGTACTTTAACTATTAGTTATAAACACCAGAGGCAATAAATAACAGATTCACAACTCCGTAATAAACATGTTCGCTTACTAAAGTATGTGACAGTCCCAGCAATTACTCTTTATTAGTTTTGTGTTTGGATCTAAAGAGAGATTAATATTAGGTAATTTTATTAAATAAGGTTGTATGAATTTTAAAGTTTTAAAGTTTGGTTGTTAAAAACAAGTAGGCAAATTAAAGTGGTTTATGGTCAGAAGTTGGTGAAATCTTGTAGGCATTGCCAACCATGGGTCACCTGTTGGTATTTCAGATTTCTCCTTTGTTTCTGTATGAAATGAACAAAACTTACAAAATAATAAAATTCTGAATAGTTTGTTGATTTGAATTTAGATGTTTTACTTCATTATATTTGAAAATTTAAAAAAAATTTTGAGATTTAAACAATGCAAGATTTGAAAAAGTAAACAATAAGGACCTATAAGTCTCATGAGATCATGACTAGTAGTGAATTTCTGTTATTTATTTCTCTGTAAACACCAAGTTTAAAATTGATACATATACTATATTTTAATATTTATTTATATGTGTTTTGATAATTTAAAAAATACACTATACAGTTTATAAACCCCCAGGAGATCCGAATTCATGACATTTTATCCCTTTCCAATTAAGATCAGCTTATATATAAATATAAACTACATTGTTACAAAGACATGTATATAGATGACTTTCTTATTGTTTTTTTTTTTTGTATATTTTTAGCATAGGATTGCAGAGGATAAGAGACAATCTTTGGAGAGGTTAGTGAAGAAGAAAAATCGTCGTAGTTCTGAAATCTTCACAGAGTACATGAGTAAGAGGGAAGAGATGGAGAAAATAGCAGAACAGAATTTAAAAGAAGTGGAATCAAACTGGCAGGAACAGGGTATGTCATAGAAATAGCAGATAAAATGGGGTATACTGCTTTATATATAAGACAGGATATTGGTTAGTGGGTACAATGCCTAGAAACTCAATTTGATATACAGGTGTATTAAAGTTTTACAGTCATTAATTCTAGAGTGCAATATGCCGATAGACTCAGTTTTCTTTTTGATAAGAGAGTTATAACAGGGATGTGCAATTAGCATCGCCCGACGCCCAGTGCTACCATTTTTTGGGGTCGGGCTAGTAGTTTTCTGAACGGAGGTAGCCCCTTGGGCTAGTAAAAATTAAAACTATTAACGTAAAACATGAAAATCACTATCGGTATTTCCACTCATTTTTTGCTATTAAATTCCCAACCAATGAAATATTTCCAGGCAGCATGCTCCTCTAGTTCATAAATCTCCATAATCTTATCCATTTTGCAATACTACCTGCCTTATATACTTCCAAAAAACGATCGTTTTTTTTCTAATCCGAATTTCCTCCATTCCTCTGTTTATAGTAAATACATGCAGATATCTCATTAAATTATTTGCGATCACTCAATCAAATGAAAGATAAATGTTATGTGCTTTACACGTAATATATTTGTGAGAATTTAACTTTGATTTTAAAAAGAATGACATTAAAGCCCTGACTTTTTCAACAATAAACTATTTTTTTCAATATTAGTTGTTATTCCCCCTACGTTTGGGCAAGTAACTTTTTACTTGGGGCTAGTAACTTTATTGCTGCCACTAGCCCGTGGGCTAGTGCTTAATTTCTGTAATTGCACACCCCTGTATAAACTGATTAGGAATAATTTTGATCTTTAAAAAGTGTAAGTTTTTGAATATTATAAGAAAATGGTTCCTTTTTTCCAGAAAAGAAAGCCAAAAAGGCAGAGGAGGAAGTAAAAGAGCTGGCCAGGCGAGCAAGGATCGAGTACCAGAACTCACTAAAACTCGGCATGAATGTTCTAAATGCTGTATCAGCATTCTCAGGGAATGGAACCAATACTAAGCCTCCTGTACCTCCCAAGTATGTTGTATACACAAAACCCTTAAATGTCACAAGTGTGTCCTATAAACCAAATCCCCCAAACCTCTTATCGTAAGTGTTTCCTATACACAAAGTATCCCTAAACCTTCCCAGTATGTCCTTTGCATAAAGGCCCCCAAACTTCTCAAAGTTTCTTTACACAGTGCTCTCCAAAACCTTTCCAGTAAGTTGTATGCACAAAGGTCCCCAAAATTCTCTTAAGGTGTCCTATACATAGAGCTCCCCAAAACCTCCCAATGTTCAATGCACAACCTCCTCCCCCACAACCTAATAAATGTGTCCTGCTCACTAAGCTCCCTAAAACCTTCCAAAAATGTCCTTCACAAAAACTCCCTAAAACCTCTGGAGCAGACACATTTTTAAGCCCACCTGAGTTGTAAGCTCAAGTGAATTTTTCTGATCACCTGTTGTTCAGCGTCCATCTGTCTGTAAATAATACCCATTTTAGACTTCTTAAGAACCACGGGGCCAATTTTAATCGAAGGCACAAATCATCCTTAGGTAAAAGGGATTCAAAATTTTTCAAAAGAAAGGCCAAGATAATCAAGGAAAGGCAAAAATAGGGTGGGGTTATTTAAATAAATTTTCTCAAGAACCACAGGGCCAGAAAACCTGGCGCGGGGGGGGAGGGGGGCATAAGTTTCTCAAGAACCACTGTGCCAGAAAGTTGAAACTTAATGAATGCTCCATTACAAAGTATAAATTCAAGTGATGTAGATTCTAGTTTGTTCAGTTCATGACCCCAGGGGTAGGGTAGGGCCACAATAGGCAATCAAAGTTTTTCTTTAGAATATATAGGAAAAATAAAAATCTTCTCCTTAAGAATTGGCCTTGATTAGTTATATTTATATTGAAGCATCTTCAGGTAGTGTAGATTCAAGTTTGTTCCAGTCACAACCCCAGGGCAAGTGTAGGACCACAATGGGGGCACAATCAAAATTTTTCATAGGAATATATAGGAAGAATCTAAAAATCTTCTCAAGAACAGTAAAGCCATGATTACATATTAGGGATATATAGGAATATTCTTTCAAAATCTTCTTCTCAAGAATAGCATAGTCATGAAGTCAGGATTATTCATATTTATATTGACACATGCTGAGGTAGTGTACATTCAAACCTTGTTCAAATCATGATGCCCAAGGGTTAGGTAGGGCCACAACAGGCAATCAAAATTTTACATAGGAATATATAGGAAGAATCTTTAAAATTCTTCTCAAGAACAGCAAAGCCATGATTAGTGATATATATATATATATATATATATATATATATATATATATATATATATATATATATGGAAGCATCCTCAGGTAGTGTAGATTCAAATTTGTTAAAATCATGACCCCGGGATGTAGGATGGGACCACAGTGGGTGATCAATGTTTTACAAAGAAATATGTAGGAAAAATCTTGTCCTCAAGAACAAAAGCCATGATTGGTCATTTGATATGGAGGCATCCTCAGGTAATGTAGATTCAAGCTAGTTCTAATCATGGCCCCCTGGGTAGGGCGGGGCCACAATAAAAGATCAAACTTTAACATAGAAATAGATAGGGAAAATCTGTAAAAAAAAAAAAATTAAAGCCATGATTAGTCATATAAATATGGAAGCATCTTCAGTTAGAATAGATTCAAGTTTGTTCAAATCATGACCCTTTCCCCAGCCCCTCCTGGGGTAGATAGGGACACTTACATTTTAAACATTTTTCAATACTGAACTGATTTCTGCTTATCTCTAGCCAAAATGTTCAAGTGAGCAATGTGACTCATGGGCCTCTTTTTATATTGTGCAAACTATCAGCATTTCCAGGCAAAATTACAGTAAACTGATATCTGTACACATGGAATTGTTGCCCTTGTTTTTCCTTTTCTCTCTCTCTATTTTTAGCTCTTCTGAGCCAAAGGCTCAAAGAGCTAATGCTATGGTCAATTTGTGCAGTGTGCATAAACTTTTTAGAATATGGGCCATAACTCAAGAACTCCTTGGCTAATTATTGTCAAATTTGTCACAGGGTGTCCTTGGTCCAAGGGCTTTCGTTTGTACTAAAAGTAGGGTTATGACCCTTAAACAAGGGGAGATAATTAGGAAAATAGAAACAAAAGTACTGGTTGCTAAAAAAATCTTCTTCTCAAGAACCACTGGGCAGATTATCACCAAACTTACACAAAAGGATGAGGATGTGTTGTAGATTAAAATTTCACGGGTATTTACCTTGGAGCAAAGGGCATGGTCTCAAGGTCACTTCAAAGTTGACCAAAAATTAAAATTTTATCAAAATGTTGATGTTTTGCTTACTATAAGGACTAAGATCATCAAATCTTTTTCAGTTGATGCATCTAAGGACCTCATATCATGTTGACTCAAAAGTAGTTCACAACGTATTTTTAAAATTTTGCAGCCATTCTTTTTCAAAATGATTTAGAGGCATATTTTAAACAATTTAAGGCCTATGAACATCAAACTTTGTCAGTTGATGTATCTTGGGTCCTCGGAGTACGTCGACTAAAAAGTAGGTCACCTTGACCTACTTTTTGAATTTTATGCCTAATCTTTTTCAAAACAATTAAGGTCATTAATTCGAATACTAAGAGGTTTAGTATCGTTAAATCTTGTAAGATGATGCATCTTGGGGCCATAAAACATATTTATTAAAAAGTAGGTCACCGTGACCTACTTTTTGAACTTTGCAGGCATTGGATTTCAAAGCGTTTTAGAGGCATAATTGGACATTTTAAGGCCTATGATCATAAAACTTTGTACTTAGTTGATGCATCTTGGGTCCTTGGAGTACGACAACTGAAAAGTAGGTCACCGTGACCTACTTTTGAAATTTTATGGCTGTATTTAATATTTCCAGGTACTATTTGGCTTAGAATCATCAAAATTTGTCAGTTAATATATCTTGGGTCTTCGGAGTAGGTAGACTGAAAAGTAGGTCACCTTGACCTTTTCAATTTATATGACTATAATTATTTCGGGTACTAATTGGCTTAGAATCATCAAACTTTGTCAGTTGATGCTTCTTGGGTCTTCTGAGAAGGTTGACTGAAAAGCAGGTCACCATGACCTACTTTTAAAATTTATGGCTTTAATTAGATATTTCATGTACTAATTGGCTTAGAATCATCAAACTTTGTCAGTTGATGCATCTTGGGTCCGCAGAGTTAGTTGAATGTAAAGGAGGTCACTGTGACCTATTTTTGAAAATTTTCGGCTTTATTTAAATATATCAGGTACTTAATGGCTTAGAATCATCAAACTTTGTCAGTTGATGCATCTTGGGTCCTCAAAGTATGTCATCTGAAAAGTAGGTCACTGTGAGAATACATATATTCATATATTCTTTCTATCATAAAACAGAAGCGAGGAGTTGAGGAAAAGTATGGCAAAAGTTATCAATAAGAGGCCACCACGACCTCCTAACAAACAGGCTGTGATTGAATGGTTCCTAGAGGAGGAGAGGCCCAAAGGAGTGGGAACAGATCTGAACACAGGAAAAGTGGCCGCATGGTTTCACGGTAAATTACCATAGGATATTTCTTAGAATATCACGATGAAGTAATGTTGAAAATACTACTTCAGCATAGATTTCCAAGGAATCTTAGCTACATTAATACATCCTACCTTGCATCTCCTCCAGAATTTTGTGAAACACAGAACATTTTTTTTTCTTATTGATTGTGGGTTAAGTTTGAAAAAAAAAATGTGTAAAATCCTTATTTTATAATTTTTAGGGGTGATATCTAGGCTAGAGGCAGAAAACTATTTACTCAATATGACCCTTGGTAGTTTTCTGGTGCGAGTGAGTGAGAGAGTGTGGGGCTACACAATTTCCTACCGAGCAGAAGATCGCTGTAAACACTTCCTTATTGATACCTCAGACCAAGGATATCAGTTCTTTGGAGCCAATCAACTAGTTCATAGAAGTCTAGCAGAATTAATCAACTTCCACAAGGTATGTTTGGCTTGACAACCAGTCTGTTGAATTTCTTCTCAAGATGTATGGTTTCATTGTGGTAATAATCTCACAGATTTTGATAAACATGCAGAATAATGCTCTCTGGTTGTGATAGATATAGTGGTAAGATGAATCTTAGCAAATGAAAGTCTTAATTTACATACCATTATCAGCATCATAACCGTAATGCTTGGAAGAAAAAAAAATGCTGTTCGTAATTGCTGCTTTATTTTAAATGCCCGTTGTTTGACACATTTCAGAGTAACCCTATCACAGTGACAGGAGGTGAACTATTACGGACCCCTGTGGGACAAATTAAAGAGCCGCCTGATTATCAGGAGCTAATGAGGCCACGTATAACAGAAAGTACTGCATTATAACAAAAAAAACCAACATAACTCTAGATAAATCAGAAGAAATTTACCTTACCAACTGAATAGAAACCACAGAATTGTAGATAAAGAAAACAGCATGGCATTATCAACAAAACCAGTTGCCTACTTGTTAAGAGCAAAGCTTTAGGTAGACCACCATAACTTGTGACTCTATACAGTTACTTCAGGGTACTGAAAGATATTAAAACAATTGTTCAAGTTCACAATGTTGTTCACATAATCAAATTTGCTGCAATACTTGCTCACATTTTTATTGCCTGGACAAAGAGATGATACTGTAGAAGTACTTTTTTCCATGTGGTATTAATTTATGTATGTACATGTACGTGGTCACATATTTTCTACGGAAATTTGCCCCAGCATACTAAAGTATTTTGAAGGCATGTAGAGGCAATCTATCTGAGAAATACACACAGTATCCTGCCCGTGGATTGAACAGAAATTGTGATTCCATGAAATTATACCGGTATGTATGACCCCATGGAAAAAAGTATGTTTACTTCGAGTAATTTTCCCTTTTTTTATTTTTCTACATTTTGTGACCTGGATCAGTTTAGACATTTATAGGTTGTAGTTTTTACAGCAGAGCTGTATTAGAATAGTTTACTGCTATCATGCACAGTATTTTGATTATAATTTTATCCAATTTTTAATTTGACATGGATTTCTAGTATGCTTGTGCAGTCCCATTATTTTATGTCACATATATATTGCAGATTTTTGTAGAAAAGATCTGTCAAATCTGCATAATGAATTTAAACTACTGGAAAATATGATTTGTTTGATACAATTTTTTGCTCATTTGCCTCATTGGGGTCTTGGATCCACAAGGAGATTTTGAGATTCAAGTAAGGATATAAGCTGTTAGGATTTTACATGTGTTTGTACAATCATGGCAATAATAACAAATCAAGTTTGAATGTATTTATGCTTTTTTTTATACAAATCCATATGTTATTACCGAGTCGTATAGAAGTAAATAATACATTTGATAACATTTGATACATGTAGTGTTTATTAAGTATTTACATGCACATTTTTACATTTTAAAAAATCAAAAATTGAAAATTTGATCAGAATTTTAGGCTGGTAATTTGGACATCAAATCACACATAAATGCAATATCATTTCTTGCATTTTAATATCAGGAGACTTAAGTTCTGCTCACTTTATATTTGTAAACAATTCCTAAATATTCTGTGGTGTGAAAAACACCATAAACAATGATTTGTTGTAAAACATGCTTTTTTCCCCTTAAGTCTTTGTGACTATATGTGTAATATATTGACAAAAAAGTCAAAAATGGTTGTTTTTCCAGATATTATACATATAACTCCATAAAAAAATGTATGAAGTTGTTGGCTGGTAACCCAGATTGATCAAATTTGAGAAATATTTTTATAATTGTCTTCAGGCGAATCCGAGATGAAGTGCCCACCATGTTTTTTCTCATATTGTTGGTGTTCCATATTGTGTACAGGTTATAAGTGCTGTTATTCTATTTTAAGTGTATATACTTTATATAAGGTTGTATCTAATTATATCTCCATATCATTTTATATACATATTAATATGATCATTATTTTAACAGAACTTGGTCACATTCTCTTTGTGCAGTGCATTGTTTTTCATTTATTAGTACTGTATGAAATACTATAAATAATTTCAAGAGGATTAATGATTCGTCATTTAAATGTGTTTTTATGCTAATTAACATCCTCGCAAGCCAGGGGTCCTGAGTCAACACGTTGCCGTTGGACCCCTGGCATATTTCATTCAATATTCGTGGGCTTGCTTCTCTCATTGAGAAGCACCAATCAAATTAAAGTTTTCATAGGTAGTTAGATAAGGATTCAGTTGACACCTCAAATGCACGTGTTACAAGTTGTTTATCATAGAATGGCTTAATGTGATTGGTTGAGAGATATGAAAAACAATCAAGATTTGTAATTTTTCCGAAAGATGTCGCTACAGTCAGCTCACAAATATTGAATGAAATATGCCAGGGGTCCAACGGCAACGTGTTGACTCAAGACCCCTGGCTAATTAAATGCTATTCTTGAATTTTTATGCCAATTAAAAACTTTATTCTCAATTTTCCAAACTTATAAACAAATATGCCAAGTTAACAATTGAACTTTTGTTATAATTGTTTTTAATAATCAAGTTTTATGAGCCAGTACTCGTTTCCAAATTTTCTGTTGGTGAACTAAGTGAAGTAAAAAGTGTGCATAAAAGTGTTTAAAGGTTGTGAACTTTTTTGTTCATAATTGTTGAAGTTCATTGCAATTTATTTTGGTGAGGCAACTCCATTTGTTCATGTTTTACTGTCAATAATTGCTGAAGATGGTAAAACAGCAAGAGTTAATTCCCTTCTTTATGATTCTTTGTGTTTTATATTTTAGAGTGGCATCTATTGAAATGTTTTTATTTAATTCTGAAGGATTACATCTAGTCATTAATTTTTTTCCTTACATTTTATATTTAACACTTTTTCTTCTGTAATAATTGTACATATTAAATGGAGCTTAATTCACACCCTAGTCCATCATATTCAGCGTATGGTTCAGTCTTGGAAAGTTTCATTTTTTTTTTCTTTTTTTGAATTGCATTAGGAGTAACTGGAGTATTTTCTTTGAATGAAAGAGAATTTTTATGCTGCTGGGCATGTGAATTGGAACTAGGTATTCTCATATTTTTGATTATTCATGTTATTTTTGCTTAAAATCTTTTGTAAAGTGAATTTATTTGCCCTTTACAAACAATAAATATGTACTGATAATAAAAATTGACTCGAGTTTTAAAACACAATATTTACTGTAAAGAATGTTCAACAAATATGGATATTCTGTAATACATGTATTGAATTGATAAATGAAGAGAGGGTATATAGATTATAAGTTTTCAACTTTTACCGAGTGTGTCTCTTTCTGACGAGAATTTATTCTTAGCCTTAACCTTTAAACGAAAAAGTTCATATTTGGCCAAATGGAAGTTACGCTTTGTATGTCCATATGTCAAGGTCAAATAGGAATCTTGGTTAAAATCCACTGCTTAACGAAGCTCTAAACACAAGTGAAAAAGGATTATTGGACTCAAGAGAAAATTAGGTCATATAAAAGTGTAAATATTGAGTTCTATAACTAATTCTTTTGGATGTGGTACCTGCCATATTTTTCCAGGAAAAAATGTTCGAAGACAGTGAGGTATTAGTGATGTTTACTTACATTGGGAAAATACATGCAATGAATGTGTTTAATACTTTATCTTAGTCTAAATAAATGTAATGTTAAGAATACTTTAATCTATTTCAAATTATGCCATTACTGTAAATTTCCATTTATTTCATTTTACATTAAAGGGCAGATCACTCAACTTAAATAACCATGACATAAGAACCCCTTAGTGAGGGGTGTTTACAGCTTCCATAAGAAAGCAATGGCTTAACATCAATTTAAGAGAATTGAACCATGGATTTTTTATCTCAACAAATTAAAACTTCATAACTCTCAGACTAAATTTGAGCTTAACAATTATTTAAATTAAAAAACAAATGCCTAGTTCCTGAATACACATCTCTAGGATACACAAAAATTGATCATGGAAAGCAAGAGGTAGATTCTTTGTATACAATGTGTCATTTGAGGATTTCTTTCTTAACAAAGCACCATGGCTTTACATTTCTTTTCTCCATTGCAGCAGATGTTGACAGGTTGTTTTACTAGAGGCAATATTTGCAATATGAATGATTATTTCTGGCCCTTCACCTATGGTGATTCTGGTTCCCAAAACCACAAAATGTAGCACCAAAGATAAGGTTCATTCATTTCAAGACTCACAGAGTATAGAATATTTAGCAATTTCAAATGATTTATATTTTGATTTACTGATCACATGAGTTTACCTGAGAGCCCAACTTTAATTTTCTTTACAGTAAGTGGAGAGAAGTTAGTTTTCCTTCTTTATTTCTTATTGAAGTATGATACAAGCACCCGAAGAGTGAAAATACACAAAATGTAACAAAACAACATTCTTTAACAATATGTAAGTTTCAAGTGTAAAAAAATACTCAAGTATCCAATACTGAATAATGAATCATTATGCAAACAATACTGAATACATGTATATAAATGCTTATACTGTTTTATATGATACTCAATTACATGACAGAAATTTGAGCATTTGTGTGAAAATGATGTCACACAGCAACACATTGTGCATTTGATTTTTTTTTATTTGCATAGAAAATTTTGTTCATTAAATTAACATCACCAAGAATATTTCTTGTCTGACTTCTACCCAGTTCATCAATGAAAGAAATTTGGAAAAAACCACTGACTATGATAAATGCCATCTTTTCTGTATCTTGAAATTAATTATAGACAAGCTTTGAATAATTTTCCCATTCAAATGGGCAAAAAATCATGGTGAAAGATTCTTGGTACAATTTATTCTTCATGGAAAAAAAAAATCTAAGTAACTGCATTCTTTAAACAAAGTAGAAAATGCAGAAAAATTAAGGATGACAAAAAAATTCTTCACTAATATGAATATTTTGTTTGGAACACATTGAACACTGCAAGTTCTGAAGCTCTGATAGATAGACAATCTGCTATCTGTGTGCCCTACTGGAATACACACAATAAATAGATACAACATCAACTCTCTCTCACACAACCACACTAAAGCACTGGAGTATATGGACTATACGGAATTCTGCATGTGCATATGAACTCTTGGAAAAGTGTTTAGATTCAAACTTACATAACAAGGTTCTATCCTTTAATATATACCATTGTAATACAAACTGGCAATTAATAGTTTCAATATACAATGTGTGCTAAGAAATAAACTTCTCAAAAAACTACTTATTTCATCAGCCATGGTACTCAAAAAAAATTATACAGATGGCTCTATTGATATTCATACTTTGTAAAACCCTTTACATTCAACAGCACAGTAATCAAGTAAATTAAATTTTCAGTGATTGTATTCTTTACATAATGAAATCATTGGCACACATTTTGTGTTCATGACTAGATTTCATTGAAGAACTAAACCTATAAAGAAGACAAGCTTTCAGACTAGTAGCTAAACTACCTGCTATATAATACTTAAAAAAAAATCTGTGCAATGTCCATTTAGTTATTGCGTAGTATGAATTTTCCACTATCAATAATTATTTTACAACCATATTTGTACAAATTCATTTAGTCCAGAAGGCCCAATTCTAATTTTTTCCAACAGTATTTAGCTAAATTTCTTTAATAGTATCATTAAGACTAAAAAAGTGAATATTACTTCAAAAACATCAATGCAGTAAGTATCAATATGTGAGTATTATTCATTGGACAAGAGTGCATTTGGTGCAATTAATCTACTAATATAGTTACTTGGTAAGACAACTAGATTTTATCTCAGCACCAATAGAGGTCATGACTATTTCAAATTAAAAAATACTGACTGAAGTTTACATTTTACCATTTCATTTACAAATTAACAACTGAATGTTTGTAACTATACATTAGAGAAAACGTCTACAATGTTTATTAAGAAATGTTTCTTAAAATGTTTCCCAGTTGTTAACACTAGAAATTCCCCCTTTTTTTTTTAAAATTAAAAATCGATATTACAATATGTGATGCATCATTCTGAGTTGAACAAAAGGAATTATAGCACTACAACTCTGCAACTTTCAATCATCCTGAAAAATTTGCATTCAAAATGGTTTTAAACTCTCTCTCTATATTTGGCATTCTACAGTAGGGTATATTTTACATTATAAAACAGTTTACACATGAAAACACATGTAGTTTACACAAATGAGCCCCACTGTCCCTTCAATTTCATTATTCACAATCTCTAACAATCACACTATGCATAAGCAGAGGTAAGGCAAGGGTGTTTGAAGTGGAGACCCACATCATGTCAGACATTAGGAAGATTGCCCTCTCTTCCATCCGAACTTTGGGTGTCACTCTGCAAAAAAAAATAATCATGAATGAAAAAAACCCAAACAAAACAACAAGAAATATGTCCATAGGAAATGAATGCCAGGATTCATTAGTAATGCAGCATGAAAATTTGTATTAGTTTATGAACTTTGATGAAAATCTTTAAAACTGACTTTGATACACAATAAATAGTAATGTCAAAGGTCACTGGGAAGGTCAAGGTAAAAAAATTGGACACAGTTGATAAATTCTCATCAAATAATTATCAATGCATAAGCTAACGTAGAAAATGTCTTTAATAGTTTCTTTGAAATTGAGATAATCAATAATTTGATTAAAGCAAGGTCAATGTCAAAGGAAAATCAAGGTCAAAAACTGTTGATGCAGTTGAATAGCTCTTATTAGTATGTATCAGCATATGAAGTTTGATAAAAATATCTTGGAATAGTTTCTTTGAAACTTAGCTTAACACAAATTCAAGAAAAGTGAAATCAAGGTCAAAGGAAAGTTCAAGGTCAAAATATGTTGATGAATAGTTCCAAAAAAAAATATGCATCAGCATGCAAGGTTTGATAAAAATATCTTAAATAATTTCTTTGAACCTGAGCTCAACACTAATTTAAGAAAAGTAAAGTCAAGGTTAAAAGAAAGGTCAAGGTCAAAATTGTTGATGCAGTTGAAGAGCTTTCATCAATATGTATCAGCATATGAAGTTTGATAAAAGTATCTTTAATAGTTTCTTTAAAACTAACCTAAATGCAAAGTGGGATGGAAGGATGGAAGACAGACATGACAAACACTATATGCCCCAGCCATATTCATGGTGAGGGATAAAACAATAAAATATTCCAAAGGATGTATTCAGAATTTTAAAAGAATTGACCTATAGGACAGAACGGTTTCATGGAAAAAGTCTAATTTAAAAAATCAATGTTCATTATGTCAGTTATTTTCTACTGTATATATATGTCTAATTTTTCAAATTTGCGATTTGAACCTAAAATGTATTTATTAAATAATAAATAATTTTTAACTTTAAAATTAATTTTCAAAGTTGGCTAAAACAGCATCTTCTTAGTTAAAGCACTGATTTTTTGCATGTATTTTGGCCTAGAAATCCTTCCAGGCAGGCCTACCTCTAATAAAACTGTGATATTTGATAGTTTTGATCTAAGAAATAATAAAGATGGGAGTTTTTTTAGGGGCATCCCTGCCCTAGGGTTGAAATTCAAAAAAAAAAAAAAAAAAAAAAAAAAAAAATGAAACCTGCTTCTGACAACCTGGTTCATATACCACTTATTTTCATAGCCAGGATAACTCCTATGGTATAACCCCTGACTATTAACACTTTTATTTCTAATTTTTCCCTTTTCAAACACCATTTAAATTCTTTTTTTGGTTTTGGGTGTGTGTGTTTATTTTCCTTCAATTTTCTACCTTTTATGCAAGCTCAATTCTTAATCCAAAAGACAGTAAAGGAAAGATATTCTCGTCTTTTACGAGATGCAATGGATTTCTTATATATATATATATATATATATATATATATATATATATATTAAGGATGGCAACGAATATTCGAACATTCGAATATTCATTCGATGAGTTGATATTCGAATATAAATTTAAGATTCGAATATTCGGTGTTTTTTCAGATTTCATAAAAAGAAGTACTGTGATTAATAAATTTTGATTAGAACAGCGCTAGAATTATCCCTATTTAATTTACTAGCGATCAATTTTTTCACTACTTTCTTATCTTATAAATCTACTAAATTACATGTATTTTGTTTTGAGTAAGGTGTTAAGGAATTGTACAAAAATGCTTTATGTATAATACAAAACGTACTTTCATAGTTTTTATTAGTTAGATACGATCAGATCTAGAATCGAGGACAAAAATGAAATCTATAAATGTCTAAAAGGCGTAAAGAGCATACTTATCAAAATAAAATTAATTGATCATTGAATGAATGTCCGATAGAGTTAATCTGTAATTAATATAGTAAAGGGCTTAATTTCAGAATAAATCTGTAAATTACTTAATTATCTCGGGTTGTACATAATCCTGAATTTTAAATTCATTATGGGGAAATTAGTTAATTACCTAGGAAAATTGTCTATGGAAATATTTGCTTACATTGTATCAAAGATTATAATCTCTTATCAGGCAGATATAATTGTAATTCATTACAAGTATTGAAATCTGAACAGTATACCGTTACGACTATCTTGCCTTTTGTAAGATGACTGGTTCCTCAGATGGAGCTACTATAAATACACGTTTCATTTGTTAAAATTATACTTTTCTACATTTAAATCAATTATTTATTTCAAACATTGACAAATATTTAATGGAATTTCTTATTGTACACCCACAAAAGTCTTCATACAATTTTACTTCCAATATAAGTATAGCTACGCTAAACCTTTCATGAGAGTAGGATGATGCATATTTAAAATAAAACAGATTTATTTATTTTATCGAATATTCGAATATATTCGAATACTTTCATTGAATATTCGAATATGAATTATTGACAAAATTGACATTCCTAATATATATATATATATATATATATATATATATATATATATATATATATATATATATATATATATATATATATATATATATTTGAATTTAATCATTTCATTGCATCATGCTACATAGTTTATTTCTATGAAAAGTTTTCCCCTATATCTACATACTACACCCTCTAACTAGAAATAAAATGATGCATGAGAAACAAATTAGTACATATATATAGCCTGAAGTTGTTGGCTTCAAAGGAAATTGACAAGCTATTTGTATAGACTAAAACCAATCCTGCCCTATAGGTCGGCACTTCATTTACAATGAGGTGATCCTTTTAAGATATAACATTTGAGAAAGGGAAATATATATATGCATGTTTACCAGTGTCCCTGAAAATGGATCTATGTTGGTTATATGAGGTATTGTTGCCACAGAAGACCTCTGCATTGCCATACTCAGACTTTGCTTCATTTTGGGTTTAGAGGGATGAGCTGAAACAATGTTCTTCAATGAATTATTCATCTCATTTGAAACAAACAATTTAGCAAAGTTGGATGCATGCATTACCCAACATATCTTCTTTCATTACATGTAATAAGCTTTACGTTGAATATAAAACATTAAAATCCATCTAACTTTATGACCAACCTTCAGCACCTTTGACCTCTGGCAAGGTTATAAATTCCTTGTCTCTTTTATCAGGACTCTTGGCTTTCATCTTTTCTTGCACTTTATCATGCAGAAAACTTCTCTCTGATTGCAGGGGTTGAGGGCTTAGTGTAGTGCTGTGGTGGCTTGTGACTTGGCTCTTTTTCGTGAAGTTGGGGGGAGGTTTCTTAACCATTTTATCGCTAACCCTAAAATGGAGTTATAAAAAAGAAATCAATGAGCAATACAAGCAATTCTTATACAAAAATCACTTTTGATGTTGAAATCACAGTTAACTTTTACAATATATTTAAAACATGTTCTTGGGTGTTAATTCTTTATTACAAAGGACCACAAATGCTATCTTCAAAGCTTTTAATTCTATTATTTCTGGTCCATTATGCTTAACCCTGGGTTTGATGAAAAGTGCATTGTTCAATCTGGCTAGACTGCTTAATTATTTGAATTACCCTATTTCCATCAAGCTTCGGTAATTCTTAAAAAAATATTTTGCTTTTTATGGGATGTAACAAAAAACACATTGCAATTTTACAATAACTTTATGGCCTCTGCAAGAAAACTATCCATTATAAGAATTGTTCAGCAACGTGACCGAGATCAATTCCTAACATATAGTAGCACTAAAGGGTATACAGCAGATTACATTTCAAATTCATATTAAGTGGCTAGTATAAAACTAACGCTTGGCATAATTCAACATACATATCTGATTTGTCAATAGATTTTAATATTCTGAACAAGTGAAGAACGAACAGACATACAATGCTTTTGTATTAAATTAAATCCATAACGGTGATTCAGATCTTGATGACTGTGAATATTAAAATTAAACATTCATAAGAATTTATAGTGACTGACATAGTTAAATCCTCAAAATGCAAATTGTTATCCACATAAAATCAGGAATGGCATAACTGAGGGGTTTTCTTTCGTTACTTACCATGCTTGTGACCAGATATCCCTACATTACAGATTTATAATGATTAACATTTAAACAAAATCTGCCAGATTTTTATTGGTTTGCTTAACTATACTCCCACCTTACCAATGCTTAGAAAGAAAATAAAATGCATTCTTTGATTAGTGTTATTGCATGGGCAGTAGTGAAGAAATAATTCAAATGAGAGTGAACGTTGTTAAATAATGATTTATAGAATTAAAAGCAATTACTATAAATCTAATAATTTTGCTATAAATGAGATGGTCTTCAGAGATTTTATGTACAGATTGAAAATTTCTAATCTTCAGGTGATTTTTGAGACTCTACTAGAATTGTGCTTTTAAAAAAAAATTGAAGTCAAATTAAATGACAACAGACATATAAACTGTTGTAGAAATAGGAGATCATGAAATAAAGAGGGGAAAGAATAAAAATGTAGACATGTGACTATACTAATTAACAATGTAGCAAAATGTACAATTAACTTTATCAAATAAATCAATGTCAGAAGTATATCATATAAAAATAATATGAACACCCAAAAGGGATTTATTTTATACAATGCAGAAATAAAAAGTGAACTAGTGGAGAATTAGTGATTTTAGTAGAATTAGCCGGTTAGGAGCATGCAAGATACAAATAACTTGATTAAGCAGCCTAGTATTCTGTAGTCTCCATTGCTACACCTCTTACCTCAGTGGAGGTGGACCAGATAATGGAGAACTCATTATATTGGACAAACTTATATTGTTTGCGGTATTGAGACCCATGGTTGGACTGGAAGTATATAATTTTGTCATTTTACTCACTAATCAATTGGTGTCTTGTCATCAGGTGCTTTTCTTGAAATGGAGACAAGCATTTCAAGTATATGTAATAAAACTAAATGAAGATGTTGTTTAAAAAATAACAAATTTAAACACCAAATAAACATAAACCTATAAAACTTTTCACATGTATTATATTACAAAGATGTGACCAATTACTGTTTTACTGTTTAACAATCAAAATTGTACCTCCTCAAGAAAGTGGAATGGAAAGTTAAAATGTGACATATGACAACTTATATATATATATATATATATATATATATATATATATATATATATATATATATATATATATATATATATATATATATATATAAAACTATGATTGTGAATATCAGAAGGTATGCATTCTAAAATTAACTGACTTACAGGTTTAACCATGCATGTTGAGAACTGTACATAAAAACAGGCTTTAAGTTTTTCATCTAAGTTAAATATTACAGATACCATGAGTAAGCTAAGAAAAAATACCTCAGTAAACTGGTATTATTACTTTCACCAAGTGACCTTGATCATTTTTAATAACCTTGGATTAGGTTTATGACATAACCTTAGCTATGGCAAACTTTTTCTATAGTTGACCTTGAATTTGACCGGTAAGCAAGATAAGGAGTAAAAATACACTTTCATGTTTTATGCATTCTGTGAATCAAATATGAGCATCTAATGATTCACCAAAGTTTTGACAGATACCTATACATGTTATATTTTTATTCAAGTGACCTTGAAGTGGTGGCCAAAAACCTTAAGTGAAGGTCATCACACACTTATGTAATCTCTGTATCAAGTACCAGTCTCCAATGCTTCCCTATTACAATGTTGTGACAAAAATTTGACACTTTATTGCCACTGACCTTGAATGCATAACTAAAAGATCTTGTTTCAAGGTCACAACATATCTAGCATTAGTAATTGCTGAGGTCATTACAAGCCTTAAATTCTTCTTTGTTACAAAGTTATAGTTTAGAAGGGAATAAAAAACATAGAAATGCTGGTAAATCCAACTTACCCCCTCAAGAAAAAAAACTTCCTTGTGAGGGAGTAGCAATGATGAATTATAAGGAAAAGGTACTAAAAAAAAATAGCTTCTACAGATAAGATAAAGAGAACAAAAATTATTTCTATCTAGCAATGTCTGCTGTTAGTTAATACAGGTATATATACAAATAAATAGGTATGAAGGTAGTACTTTTATGACATACATCCACTAGTGTCTGGAAGCATAACCTGTACATGTAGGTATTTATAAAATATTACTTTATAAAATCCTACTGCATTTACTACTTTGATGTCTGGGCTCTGCATACCATACATTTTACCCTTTACCTCAATCTGTCCATGCCCACAGAAAAACACATGTACAATTATTACCCCATAGCTAGAGTTTGGCCATTACATATATCTATAACTAACCTCTCTTACTAGCTAGACTGCTGATATGCCTTGGCATATCATATATATTATATATAAGTGTTAATTTTGTTACCTTACAATAGGGTCTGGGGACAAAAAAAGGAAATTCATAATTGACATCTCAATAATATGATAATAAGCCTCATTTGTCAGCAAAATAAAAATAAGTAAATAAATAGCCAAGCTATACTTTGCTCCACAGTCAACAGAATCAGTAAGTCATAAATGTTGAAAATATTTTGTATGATGTAAAATACATGTATTAGAGAATAACATGGAACAAAAAACTCAGGTATACTGGTTAACATGCTATTCTACAGTTATTTGTATGATCTACTGTTATGTTCTAGTTTCTATGGTAGGGAAATTTGTGTACAATACCTGGCAAGACTTAAGTACTGGGATCTAATGACTAGAGGCTGTCTGTCAATATAAGGGCAAACAGTGACTGATTCATTCAGATAGAATTTCAAATCTTATTCACAAGAAAAGGTTTAGAGAAACATTTATATTAATGTGTGAGTCGGTTACTAAAAAACTCGGTGAACATAATTTTTGCCATTAACAATAGATATTCCAAATTTGAAGTCATGTGCTATATGTTACAGTAACAAAGTAATATAAAGGTATATCATACAAACTGTTGTTTATCATGTACATTTTTAATTTTTGAAAGGGAATTTATATCAAATTTAAATTGTCTATATATAAGTTTTAATAATTTTTTTCTCATTTAGAAAGGAGTACTTGATTATAGAAATCATAAGATGTTATCAAATGAAAACCATGAAAGCATATACATGGAATCAAAGAATGTGCATGTATGTCAGTCATGATTTCATTACTTTCAAATTGTTTGTTTTGCTCTGACTATAGGCAACTGAAAAATTGTGTAATGTCTATGACTTCCTTTCTAAAAAAAAAAAGTCTGATAGCTAAACTAATTACCAATCTGTACCCTGAGAAAACAATCTCACAAAATGGAACAAACACCTTAAATCTCTGTAATGTCGATTTTACCTGCTTATTGAAGGCATGGAGGGAGGTGTGGAAACATGAACTGTGGGTCCTGAATTATTAATGGGAGGAATACTGGATGATGACATAGCCGACACTGTGCTCTCCTTACTGTTCTCCTTATCTCTCTCATTCTCCTTTGATTCTGACGGTTTAACATCAGATTTCTTGTCCTCTATCTTATCTACTTTATCATCAGGCTTCTTATCTTCTTGTCTTTTACTGTCTTTTTTCTCACTTATATCCTCTGCTTTTCCTTTGCTATCACCTGATTTTTTCTCGGTCTTTTCTTCCACTTTTCTTTCATTTTTTTCTGACTTTTTGTCTTTAATGTCCACCTTGACTTCTTTTAATGAGGTGTCAGATTTGTTTTTGTTTTGATTACTTGGAGTAGATATAGATACATTACTAGTTCCATTAACAGTGTTTGGATTTGCTGCTTTTTTCACTGTCTTATCATTGTCTTGCACTTTTTTCTTCTCTGTAGCCTTTGAATCCTGTAAAAAAAAAATGTTGGAAATAAATAAATTTGCAGTTCTTTTCTTAAAATCCAGTTTCCATTCTAGATCAATCAAGCATGTCTGAAATAACTTAAGCTTTACGTATCATCTGTAACATTTCAAAATTATGAACTGTGCTCTGTAATTCTATAAAATTTCTAGAAATTATGATGTGATAGAAAGACTGATTGTATGTGCATTGTTTAATAATTTTTCATTCATGTAGAAACGTCACCTACTTTAGGTGAGGTGCCACAATTTTTGACCTAGATGCACTTATAGTCATAGTAGCGAGGGTTCATCATGCCAATGCCTACAGTGACAAATGACCTTGGGGTTTTTATGGTCTAATTTGAAAGACTTGTGACTTTCACTTCTAATGCACTGGGTGTTTGGCAAAGGAAAAGTCACTACGTATGTTAAACATCTCAAGTCTGACAGGACACCAGGAACAAGAATCAAACATGGACCTCCTGAATCCCGATCACGAAGTGAACGCCCAACCACTAGGCTTAACAGCAAACAGTGAAAAAACTAGAGCCGAGCTCGTTGCAATGCAACGAATAGGTCTTCCGTCGGAGCTCCGGACAGGACAGAGCGACCTTGAGTCAAGGTCATGCAACATTTTAAGGTTATAAACAATCCTGTAAGGGGCATCAACTTTCAATGTTTCAACAGTAGAAAGACAGTAAAGGAATGTAAAATTCCCCTGTCAGTGAACTTGAACTTGTCCAAATAACCTTGCGTCAAGCCATAACACATTCTGCAGCTTGTTAAGAGCAAACACCATCTTTATGTCACCGACATTAAAAAAAATTCACAGTCACGTATTCTTTCACACTATTCATCCAAAACATCATATTCTAAGTAACCTCGAATTTAAGCCAAGGCCATTACACACTCTGGATGATATATTTATCATCTTTTCAGTGAAATGCAAATGCATTCAATTTTTTCTATTACAAAATTATAGACCTTTTTGTTTATTTGTTTGTATGTTGTTTAACGTCCCCTTCGAGAATTTTTCAATCATATGGAGACGCCACCATTTGCCGATGGAGATCTGCAAATTTTGACCTATACTTGGCACACATGGCCATTGAGCAGTGAGGGATCTTTTTCGTGCCAGCACCTACTGCCAGACGGGACCTCAGTTTGTACGGTCTCATCCGAAGGATCAGTCTCTGCGTCCCTCAGTGGGATTCGAACCTGCGACGTAAGGATCAACTCCTTAATCCACGACTCTAGAGCAGACACTCTTACCACTGCGCCACTTGGGCGACTAGACCTTTTTGAATTTTACACTTATTATATCAGTGACCTTGAACTTGCCTAAATGACCTATGTTAAGGTCAAAAACAACCTTTGAACAAATTATAAGCTTCCAGTGATACTCAATGACAAAGATATACCTGAAAAAGAATATTGCACTTTTCTGTCAGTGACCTTGAACTTGCCAGAAAGACCTTGGATCAAGGTCAAAACACATTCTTGGATCATAAGCAATCTCTGTATCAAGTAAAAGCTTCCAGTGATTTTATATTACAAAGTTATAGCATGGAAAAAAATTAATATTTATCTGCCAGTGACCTTGAACTTGCCGGAAAAACCTTTGTTCAAGATCAGGACAAACCCATCTCAAGCAATCTGAGAAAAAGTTTCCTCTGTTCCTCCCACCCCTTATAAATTTATAATCCAGGCACGAATTTTGCCACTTCTTCTGCCAGTCTAGTACTATGTTATCTCAAACCGGTGGATCATAAGCAATCTTTGTTCCAAGTATGAGCTTCCAAAATTATAGCACATACAGTAATCTTACACTTTTCTGTCAGTGACCTTGAACTTACAGGAATGACCTTGGATGAAGGTCGTGTCGAACCCTTTAATTTTGTCATAAGTAATTCCTGTATCAAGTATGATACTTGCTAATTTTTTCCAGTGACCTTGAACTTGCCGAAATGATGTTGGATCAAAACTATGACACACCTTCGGATCATTAGTAATCTTTGTACCAAGTATGACCTTTCAGTTTCTTCATAACAAAGTTATAATATCCTTGGCAAACTATCACGTACAAACGGACAGCTAGGCAAACGGACAGTGTGATTCCAAAAGACTCAAAACACCCCACCCCAAACCCACACTCTTCGTTTGGGGGGATATATAAATTCCTATGTAAAATTATGAACACTCTTTCCGGCCCAAACTTTCTCCCTGGAATCAATATTTGAAAAAAAAAATGAATGTATGCTATGTTGGAAATTTTCTCATTCTAGTCCAGGGATTCTTGAGAATACTATTTTCAAATGACCCCATGTGCGGATCTAGAGGGGGTTGGGGGCAGTTAAATGTATATACTAAACAAGTAAAAGTGACCATGCCCCCCCCCCCTTGAAAACGCGGACCCTTCCTCGAAAACGCGGATCTGTGTTAAAATGGTATGAAAAGTCTTAGGTATGAAGCTTTAAAAGTCAACGACCCCCCCCCCCCATACACACACACAAACACACACACGAAATAGGTTTTTCACGCTTTGGAAAAGAGTTTCTTTTTCTTTTTTGGCTCGTCAAGAAATTTCTGGGTTGAAATATTTTTTTATTGGCATCCCCCCCCCCCTCCGTGGGAAAAAATTCCTTGATCTGCGCCTGGACCCCATCTAATTTTTACTACATGTATCCGTTAATAGAGGATGTGACCCTTCATTTGAACAAAACTTTACCAAAAATATTCTGTGTTAATTTTCGTTGTTATGGTCCAGTGGTTCTTGATAAGATAAAAATGAGAAAAATTTACGAGTAGCTTTAGAACAACAACGACGATAATGCTTATATACAACAAGATTAGCAAACAAAGATGAAAAATTATGAACAGCAAAAGCTTATTTGTGTCTTTGGCTTGGGAGATGAGATACTTATTAAAAATTGAAATTATTTTGTTATTTTTTTTTTTACAATCGACGGGCCTGCATTTCAGAGAGAGAGAGAGAGAGAGAGAGAATTTCTAACTAGATCTTTGAATAACTGTGAGATCGGTTCAGAAAACCAGGTCCCTAGGAATGTACATGTATATAAAATAGGCAGTGCCTTTCTCTCGGAATTCATCACCTGCTTCTGTAAAGCTCCATCCTCACCTGTACTTACATGTACCTGGTAAAACCAACCGACTGCGAAGGAAAACATTCTATTTATTTCGAGGATGGGGGTTTACGTATAGTGATGAGAGGAAATTTATTCACCTATACGTTCATTAAATATGAAAGATTGCTTCTGAGTATTTGTATACGATCGCACGACTTTCGTGTTAATTTATAAAAGTTAGATTATGAAAGCAAAGAACTAAACTAACATTTGCAGTAAATGAATTAAATACATGTAATTATTTAGCCGTTTATAAGGTTTTTTATAACATCCGTAAGAACCACTTTATTTTAAACAAGAGGCCCATGGGCCACATCGCTCACCTGAGCACATTAGCTAGACACAAATCAGTTCAGTATTAAAAAGATTACTGGGGGTTGGGGGGGGGGGGTGAATTTTAAACTACCTGATGATGCTTCCATGTCAATATAACAAATGGCTTTGTTGTACTTGAGAAGATTTAAAAAAAAATGTTCCCATATATTCATTTGTAAAATTTTGATCCCCCATTGTGGCTCCTCCCTATCCCAGAGGTCATCATTTGAACAAACTTGAATCTACACTACCCGAGGATACTTCCATATCAATATGACTAAACATAGCTTTTCTGTTCTTGAGAAGAAATATTTTTTCTATGTGTACTTATGTAAAACTTTCAATCCCCATTGGGCCCCAAACTACCCCTGGGGGTTATCATTTGAAAAAAAAATTGAATTTACACTACCTGAGGATGCTTCCATATCAAAATGACTAAACATGATTTTCATTTCTTGAGAAGAAGATATTTTCCAATATGTTTCTATGTAAGAAATTTTTGATCCCCCATTGTGGCCCATCCCTATCCCCGGGGGTCAAACTTGAATCTACACTACCTGAAGAGGCTTCCATATCAAAATCACTAATCATGGCTTTGCAGTTCTTCATCAGAAGATACTTCCTATAATATATCTATTTCAGACATTGAACCTCCATTGTGGCCCCGCCCTACCCCAGGGGGTCATGATTTGAACAAACTTAAATCTATACTACCTGAGGATACTTCCACATAAATATGATCAATCAGGGCTTTGTTGTTCCTGAGAAGAAGATTTTTAAAGATTTTTTTCTATATATTTCTATGTAAAACTTTGATCCTCCATTGTGGACCCGCCCTATCCCCCGGGGTCGTGATTTGAACAAATTTGAATCTCCACTACCTGAGGATGCTTCCACATAAATATGACTCATCATGGCTTTGCTGTTCTTGAGAAGAAGATTTTTAAAGGTTTTTCCTATATATTTCTATGTTAAACTTAGATCCTCCATTGTGGCCCCGCCCTACCCCCGAGGGTCATGATTTGAACAAACTTGGGTCTACACTACCTGAGGATGCTTCCATATAAATATGACCAATTGGGGCTTTGCTGTTCCTGAGAAGAAGATTTTTAAAAGTTTTTCCTATATATTTCTATGCAAAAGTTTGATCCTCCATTGTGGCCCCGCCCTACCCCCGGGGGTCATGATTTGAACAAACTTGAATCTACACTACCTGAGGATGCTTCCATATAAATATGACTTATCATGACTTTGCTGTTGTTGAAAAGAAGATTTTTGAAGGTTTTTCCTACATGTATATATTTCTATGCAAAAGTTTGATCCTCCATTGTGGCCCAGACCTACCCCCTAGGGTCATGATTTGGACAAATTTGAATCTCCACTACCTGAGGATGCTTTCATATAAATATGACCAATAAGGGGTTTCCTGTTCTTGAGAAGAAGATATTTAAAGGTTTCTCCTATATATTTCTATGTAAAACTTTGATCCTCCATTGTGGCCCCGCCCTACCCCCGGGGGTCATGATTTGAACAAATTTGAATCTA